GATGATACCGCTTTCTCTTTTCATGGAGCTATGCAGTAAGTTATGCATACCTTCAAAAGAATTATGTACCTCATATGTACCTATATATCTGAGCTTTAGGTGCTGAAACGTTTCAATTAAGTCTTGGCAACGTCCAATGTCATTGTGAACATCAGAAATACACGCGCAAATTAAAATTTCGGCAAAGTTGTGTTTTTCACAAAAATGCGAACTTTGACCTGGTTGAGCTACCTCTAAATAAACATATTTTCCAAAAATATTTTACACACAACGTTTTCTCGGGTGGTAGAACAGATTGGCTGCCCGTCCCGCTGAAAATTCTCAAAACGAAATTTTAGCCCCGTTTTAGTGCCACCCTAATATACATGTACATACAATACCATATACCAGTAAAACGCCTTTTGGGCGAAGAACGAGCGAGCGAGATAGTGAGCCCTGCACGTGCGCAAGGGCGAGAGGGTACTTCCAACGGGCTTGTGCAAAGCACCCTTCTAACCGGTCGCTAGCGGTGTGCCAAATTTGAACGCAATCGGCCCAGCCGTTCCTGAGATCTGGAAGCGGCATTCTGCACGTGCGCACGTGCAAGCGGGGTCCAAACTGACTTTTGCACGGCACCCTACTAACTGGTCCCCAGCCGTGTACCAAATTTGAGCGCAATCGGCCCAGCCGTTCTCGAGATCTGGGAGCGCCCCCTGCACGTGCGCACGTGCTGTAGCACCCCAACCTTAACACATGCAGATGAATTATCTGATGGAGACCTAACTGTGTACCGAGTTTCAATTCAATCGGCCCAACCGTTGTGCCGTTATTGAGGTTGCAATTTTGGGGGTTCTTAAAAAATGTCCAACTTTACCACGCGCCACGTGCGGTGGTTGGCAAGAACGCATGGTGGCCATCACACCACAGAACTTTTACGTCCAAGTGACATTCAGTAAAGAAGACCGCTTGTCAATCGGATGTCCCGTTCCTAAGATATTAGCCTTTGAAGAGCGTCCCCACGGCCGGCCGGCCGGCCGGCCGGCCGCTCATACTCAGGATTTTCCCTTATTTCAGTATGAACTCGCTCGCTCGCTGCGCTCGCTCGCTCGTAATAAGCAAAACTTCTGAAAGAACCATGTGTATGTTAAAAGGAAATCTCTGGGTGTTCAAAACTCACTGGTGACACGCCCAGAATATCGTACGGGTCGAAGTTGGCATACTCGTAGTCGAACTCGCGCACCCGCTGGACGAGGATTGCCACAGCGATCCAACCCAGGATCAACACTATTTGTCTGCCAAACAACAGCCATGTATCAGTTAGAGAGGGGCAGCGAGGGGAGAGCTACTCACAGCAGCTGTTCCATAGCCACACATCAGCACAGGACAAAGTGAGGTCAGGAAGGAGAAACGTGCAATGGGAAAAGATGCTGGGGGTAGCCGGGCTAGCGTGTCTGCCACAGGGACGAGGAAGGTGAGCTCAAATAGAATTGTGAAATGCCCATAAGCTGAAGACATGGTGGCGTACATCTACGGTGCCAAGGATAGTGTAATGAGCCTTTTCCAAGTGGAGCTGATGAGCTGCAAAGGGAAAAGGAAATGACATAGGTTATTGTATGTTACACTACACACAGTGACAGCAAGAGTTAACACCTTCATCTGATAGGTCCAACTACTGACACAAATGAAAATGAACTGAAGACATTTGAAAGCACACATCTTTCAAATATAAAGAAGTATAAAATAGCGGTCACTAAAAGGCACAATGTAACACACAAAGGGCAACAAATTCTGCTTTCCAACAGCAGCCTATTCTTATCATTGGCTAGACCTACCTACTGTAGGCCACATGACCTTGCAGGCACATGGAATATCTTCTTTGAATACTTACATAGTTCTTCTTTTCCATTTTTTAGAAGGTTCTTTTGACTTGAGCAGGTGCCGTTTCCTCACACAGCCGCTGCACTGGCAGATGCTGCCATCCTTTGGTTGGGATGAATCATCTGTAAGAGTGAACAACAGCTCCATTAGCCAATAAGCTTTAAGTAAGCTTAACTCAGCATACATTCAGCTGTTGAAATGTATAGGCAAAATAGTTTAAAAGATTCATGAAGTGTCTGGACCCAAGTTAATCAGAGCTCGCAGAATTACCAGGGTTATTGAGCTGATGCTGTAAAAGCCTTCCTTCATCCTTTCCTTTTCAGTAGTGATACTTGAAGTAAAAAAAGTAGGAGGGTTCAGGGTAAGTTATCAAGAGGATTTGAAGGTAAAGCATGCTGAGTAAAGCTGGTTTCAGTCTGTCTCACTCACCCACATCAGCTAGCTACTCCCATCAACCATAGCATCTCCCTTAAGTCTGTTACATTGAACAACCAAATGAGTAGTGACTTAAACATGGGCAATCTCTCAACCACTGCCAATGTCTATAATGGTTAGCTGGTGTGCTGTACAGATCAGTTGGTAGCTACCAACTGGTCTGTACAGCACTATACTACTGTGCAAAGGCAATAACAATTACACTGGGTCAGAGGTGATTAGGAACCTCAGGCCAGAGGCACCATAATGTCATCGGTTTTAACTTCATACAGGAGTACAGCCAGTAAGGCATCTAAGCACATGCATGTCCCTGTATATTTAACATAAAATCAACATTATCACCACTTAAAAACAAAGTTGTGGTACACTTACTTGCGGTTGGCATCAGGAAAATGAGGAATAATTATCTGGGATCATCAGTAATAATTTGGTATTGCATGGACCATTGATACAAATAGTCACGTTTTTAGATTGATTTTGCTTTCACTTAATGCGGCTTTTACCCTGTTGTCAATTCCATTGTGCACAGTGTCAGCCATAAACACCAAATGATCCCAGTGATCCCGGAAAATTGAAATTATCCCTGATTATCCAGATACCAAACACACCCTTAAAGGAAACGGTATAAGTAAGCCTGGCGTCCCAGGAAGATGCCAGATACCATTGTAGGTTGTAGGTTTGTAGGTTTGTAGGGCAGGTTGTAGGTTTGTAGGTTGTAGGTTTGTAGGTTATAGGTTGTAGGTTTGTAGGTTGTAGGTTGTAGGTAAGGTTAGGTCAGGTTTGGTTAGGTTTGTTTTGGTATATATCTCCGTCGTCCCAATCTGGCATCTTCCTGGGACGCCAGGCTTACTAATACCAAGGAAACATCACAAACCTTTCCCTTACCTTTTTTATCATCCTTGATGAAATAGTAATATGAAGCTGGACCCAATACAAGTCCAAGGAAGCAAAGAAGAAAATAGTAAAATGTTGAGCCACTTTCATCATATTCAAACTTTTGACCAGCCATCCTGAAGGCAGAAACTTATCTCCTTGGCCGAAACTACCAATGAATTGCTAGATGATAAGGAAACAGATCAAGATGACCCTAATCTGGGTCAGATGATCTCACACGATAAGAAACGAGAACATCTAGCAATATTGCCTGGGAATGTGCAGAATAATAAGTGTTTTCCTAACAGCCCCACGATACTCTGCTTTCATTCCTATCTCAAATAAAACGGTACACCACAAAACGGTGTCTCTGCGTTGACGTCAACAACCCGTGTCTTCCAGTGTCTTCATTCAAATCACAGATGGAATCGATGAAGTCATCGGTCGTCCTAGAGAAAAGTATGAAAAATTATGCTAGAGCTTGTGACTTTTTCAATAAAGCTTCAGAAAAGGCCAGAAAAGGCGAACTACAAACGCAAATTTAATTGATAAACTGTCATCAATCATGAATTATTTGGAAGAATCAGTGCTAAAAAAAGTTAATTCAAAACATGGAAAGGTAAAAATGGCCAGATGAACGAACACAGTATGTAAGCGGAGAGTATATAAAATTTTCCCCTAGTCTCCGTGTCGTTTTCCTAAAAAGCATGACGTTAAAAATAATAAGAAGGCAGCGTTGAATGTCTGTGTCGCGTCAGAACTGTCGTCACAGAAATAAAATAATTTTTAATGTAGAGCAAACCAAGAGCAAACTACTCGAAATAGCGACAATTCCTAATCCCGAGAAAAATATCACCAAGAACGTCGTAGGTGCTTCCCTGGGTATTTCCAGGAGAAATGTATTTCAGGGAATGAAAACAAAAAAGTGGATCGCAAGACTTGGTAGATTCGCAACTTTCCATTACACTACCTCAACCTTTTGCCTTTCCATTTGACTTTTTAGTTTCTGACAAAAAAGTAATATTCGCATAAATCACTTTTTCCGGGAAATATATCAAAATTACTCCAGTTCTCCATCAGCTACGTCAAGTTTTGTACTGCAAAGATATTCGTGTGTTGTGACTTGCGGTCTGTATATCTATGCTTGCGGGACTTGCGTTTCATATTGCTGCTCGTTACTTGTTGGTTTGGTTGGTGGTTTCTCGGTTTATTATAGGTCAAGGTATCTTGGTTTCTCGCAGGGTATATTGGTTTCTCGTTGGGTGCTCGTTGGGTGTGTTGTTTGGGGTGGGAGCTCGCAGGGTACAAGGCCCTATATAGAAGGTATGCTCATTAGCCCGAAGCAGCGATTTCCGTGACGTCACTGGTACGAAGGGTCGGACGGCTGTAATGCAATCCTATGGAAAATGACCCAACTTTAGGGCTCTCCCACATAGCTGCCAACCTCGACACTAAGGTAAAAGTTAAATCACATAAAAGCTCAAATCAAGACGAACAAGAAACCTATCTGACGTTTTTACGTATTACTAACGGCTTAGACTCTATTCAAGTATATTCAGAGCTCTGCATTACCTCACTTTTTCTGCCGTCAATGCCACTACAAATGTCTAGTCGGCGCACGTGCGCTTGTCGAGCGGGGACCACCAGTCGGGCGATTCAGAGCTGCCGCCCAATCAGAACGCCGCAATGCCGTGACGTCATTGGTCGCACACGACACGTTACGGAGATAGGGATGAGACAGCCCTGCGCAGGGTATATAGAACAACGGGTACACGGGAGCTCGCGTGATATGTTTTGTTTGATGAAAGCTCAATAATTCGTTTTCTCTTTGACTTCATTTTGTTCCCGCCATGCATCTGCGCACTGGCATCTCAAGTTGAATCTCCTGCATCTTCCGAAACTGAAGTCCAAATGGAAGGCTGATTCCTGATTAGTCACCCATCAATTTGAATTAGGGGGTCTCAGACTGATAAGTCAGTGTCAAAAGGGGGGACTGATAAGTCACCCATTCACCGGGGGCTGATAGGTCACCTATCAAAAGGGCCAAGGGGACTGATAAACCTGTGGCCCATCGGAAGGGGCTGATTTAATAAATGTCTAAATTCAGCTTCATATTTAGCCTTCAAATACCTAAATTGAAATATTTTTATGTGGGCTCACTACTGTATTGTGTATGTTAATGTTGTTATTGTTTTACATTTGTTTTCAGATTTGTGATCAAAACATCTCGGAGACAAGACTCAAGAGCAAAGATTTACTGTCCCTCCTCATATTTTCATTAACAAGGTCAGTTGCTGAATGCTGAATTTAGTAGAACAGCAGTTGAAACGAACAGGACAAGAAAAGAATCATGTCCTCATCCTCCCAGTCTCTCCTTGCCTGGTGCCACCACTAGCGTCTAGCAGAGTACAGCCCACTGCTAAAGTAATGTAGGGTTTACCAATCTCAACGGTTGGCTTTGGCTGGCGATTGTTTAATGCGGAGTGATCGAAAAGAAGATGTCAATAGCTAAAGTTGCAGCTGCAAGGGTGACGATACATATAAGCTACATTCAAAGTTTCACTGTAGTCTGGCTAATCATTCCTAAGCTTCAGAAGCAGAACATACCCATGACTGAAACCCCACATTACTTCTGCTGTGAGTGTGGACTTAACCTAATGTAAAAGTTGAGATAAGGGACAGCAGAGGGTCATCATCATCAGGGAGGACAACCTGGTGGTGCACCCAATGGGTGGAACCGACGACTGAGAAGAAGAAGAAGAGAAGAGTAGAACTGTTTCCAGCATTACATGGACTTCTTAACATGAAGCTGCTTACCTACTTTATAGTTCCACTGAGCCCAGTTTCTGCTTCAAACAGCCTAAATATCCACATTTATTTTAGCTGTGTTGTTTTATCCTTAAGGTCTATCTAACATTTGTATAAGCATTGATAAGCAACACCAATCACATTTTTTTTTTTTTTGCTTTCAGATGTCTGCACTTTTTGGCACTGCAACCCGAGCCACCAGTAAAAACCTGGTCGAGTTTCGGGCAGGCAAGATGACCATTGCCGACAAGCGGGTGACGCCCGACACCAGGAAGGGCTCTGTTTACGTTTACCAGTCAGAGGATGGCCTCATGCATTTTTGCTGGAAGGACCGAAAGTCGGGTGTGGTAGAAGATGTAAGATCGTTTACAAAATAAATGTTTTACTCTTAATGTTGTTTTGCACTCATATTCAATGAGTCAGATTGTTGATCAATGTGGATGTGTCATATGTTACGTTGTATGCTATTTGCAATTATTCTTGCAGCTGTTATCGATTCACGTGTTCTGACATTGTACTCTTCCAGGATCTCATTATTTTCCCTGACGATGTCGAATACAAGAGGGTTCCTCAGTGCACTACCGGAAGAGTGTACATTTTGAAATTCAAGTCGTCGTCGAGGAAATTCTTCTTCTGGATGCAGGTATACCTGAATGCAGGTATCGATTTTTATCCGAATCTTCCTACTTGTCGTACTACGGCCTTGATCGGACAATCTCAACTTACGATCTTGAGACCTTACTGGAGCTGGCTGACAGTGGTGCGAATGTGTGTCGATTTCAGGAGCCCAAGACTGACAAGGACGAGGAGTACTGCACGAAGATCAACGACAGCCTGAACAACCCGCCGACGCCTGGCAGCTCCCGGTCCAATGTCTCCACGCCGGCCAACCTGCCGTCGGAGCTGTCCAATCTCGGTACGGCGCCCGCCAGTCGCAGGGCCTCAGACGTATGTAATGGAAGAACGTCATCAGTCATACGCGTCATTTCGGTGTCGACCGGCCGTTCAGACTAAATTCTAGTTCGGTAGGTAGATAATGGGCACTTTGTCACGACATTGATAACATAGGTACCGTAGAATAGTTAAGTTTTGGTCAATGGACGACGCCAAAGTCGCTTAGTGGTTGTCCTCACATTCCTCTCGACCCCGGCAAAAATTACCAAGGTACTGCGAATGCACGGTATAGTCTCTCTTCAAAGTATGGCTACTAGTAGTATCGCTGTCACTCCCTGGTTTTGAGGGTTGGCCGCCTGGCCGGCCCGTACCGTTTTCACGGTTTCAAGGGCCAGCCAGGCGGCCAACCCTCAAAAGCCAGGGCTCTTAATTTCTCAAACCAGGGAGCGATAGCAGTACTTTCTAGTAGCGGCACTTCAAAGAGAGAGAGAGAGTACACAATGCACATGTGCCCCGTGTAGTGCGGAACGTGCAGTAGTATCCCGACGTGGAATCCCGGACTGAGCGCGCGTCTGTCCCGGCAGTATCTGGTGAGACGGACCTGCAGAACCTGCTGAGCGGCATGAGCCAGCAGCAGCTCATCAGTCTGCTGAGCGGCGGCAGTGTCGGCGGCAGCGGGCTCACCGGTCTTCTCGGGTGAGCTAGTGATACAGACTCACAGAAAGTTTACCACACTGACACAGCGGGCTCACCGGCCTCCTCGGGTGAGCTGGCGATACAGACACAGAAAGTTTACCACACTGACACAGCGGGCTCACCGGCCTCCTCGGGTGAGCTGGCGATACAGTCTCACATAAAGTTTACCACACTGACACAGCAGGCTCACCGGCCTCCTCGGGTGAGCGGGTCACACAGACACACGGACACATTACCACACCGAGCTGCGCCGGGACTCCCGTGGGGAACAGCGAACCATTCGTTCGGGCTCTGTCTGGACGCCTTGTTAATTATATCTTCGATAAGTTAGCATCACCTTGGGTTTCCACCGTCTTTGTGTCTTCTTGATAGGATATTGCAAGACGTTTTCCGAAAACGAAACAAATGCCTCATCAATTACTCGATACACAGCACATAACTGTGGCTGCTGATCACCATCTTCCCAAACTTTGTTCCGGATTTCCTTGTCAAATATGAGGGTTATTTCACTTCACCAAACCGCAGTTTCGCGTATAGCGGTTAGGAAATGGCTTGACCACCCCACGGAACACATGCTACATCAGCTAGATATTGCCCGCCCCAGCTGTCACCTGTTGGAACAGGCGGTCAAATCCAGGCCAAACGATCTAACCCTAACCGTATTTATCGACGGTCGTTGACGTCCATTGACCATGCAGCCATCAGCACGCTTCCAGCTTGTGAATTTGGCATGTTTGCTCAACTGCCAGTTGTTTTGTTTTCACATACAGTACGCCAGATGCATTGCGATGCGTGCGTAGCCCTCAGCGCGTTTGCTCGTATTTTTCTCTTCACAGACCGCTCGTGTTTTTAGCTGGTACTGTAAAGCAGCACAACTATTGCGACACCTGCCCTCCCCATGAACTGCTTTCAATGCCGTATTTTGTTTGTTTTCAGTAACCGTAGAGGCGCATCAACAAGGTTCGTTCAGTTTTCTTCTTGCTTCGCTACAATCGTCTTCTTATTCGCGACTTTCTTCCCGCACTGTCGTGGTCGCCACCTTCCGTCGCTAGGACGGTGTTGTGGGTTCATTGGCCTAATATGTTTAAAAGTTATTTTATCTTCTGTAGGATAGCTTTTTGCTAGCACAAAAGTAAAATGGATTGTGCATTGTGTATCATCCCGTTTTACGCAGTTACCTTGACTGGAAATCAGCAACTCGCATCACTTCCCCTTGCATTACTAGTCAAAGCACAGCCCTCCTAACGACCCCACATCCACCACTTCCCCCGTAACCGCCGCCCGGTGGTCACAGGAGCCGCGCGGCCGCCGCCGCCGCCGCCAGCGCGGCCGAGACGCCCACGTCCGCGCCGGCGGCCACCCCGGCCCCGGCGGCGACCCCGGCACCGGCGGCGGCCGAGACCCCGGCCACGCCGGCCACCCCAGCCGCCCCGGCCGTCCAGCTGAGCGACCTGCGCAGCATCCTCTCCAACATGAACGTGCCGCAGCCAGCGGGCGGCGCGGGCGGTGGCGCCGAGGTGGACCTGTCGGCGGCGATGACGGCCGAGGCGCTGCAGCCGGTGCTGTCCAACCCGGCCTTCCTGGAGCGGCTGCAGCAGTTCCTGCCGTCGATCGGCAACAACGAGCAGCTGCCGCCGGCGCACAACCTGCGCGGTACCCTGCAGAGCCCCCAGTTCCAGCAGGTGAGCGGACCACCGATCGTGCAGGAGGGAACACCCCGCAGAGCCCCCAGTTCCAGCAGGTGAGCCATTCAGCGGGACACCCTGCAGAGCCCCCAGTTCCAGCAGGTGAGCCATTCAGCGGGACAGGAGGGGACACCCCACAGAGCCCCCAGTTCCAGCAGGTGAGGGACTCACCGGGACAGGAGGGGCTACACTGCAGACTGTACGTTCCCGGTTCCAGCAGATGAATGACCGGCCGATAAGGGAGAATTAGAGCTGCGAACTGTGGACGTCGATTCGATGTGGTCCGTGTTTGGAATGTGGAACCTAAATGTGTCTCCGAGGCTCGAAAGGTTGCTAGTTTCTGATTTTGTCCTTATCGGAAGTTTCTCTCGCTCGGACCCATTAAAAACGGACGTATCACCCCAAATTACCGTTCGTGCAGACCTGCCAGCTTGATCCGTGCCTTTTTAATGCAGAGTCGTCAGCAGCACTTTGTTACCACATCCTGCGTTCATAGTGCATTCAAAGCCCGTCTGACCGCGTTTTCCCCGTCTCTCACGGCAGGCATTATCTCTGTTCTCGTCGGCCCTGCAGTCGGGCCAGCTGGCGCCGGTTATCAGCCAGTTTGACCTGGGCGAGGCCGCCGTCACCGCCGCCGCCGCCGGCGACCTCGGCGCCTTCGTGCGCGCCCTGCAGCAGCAGCAGGACAAGAAAAAGGACGACGATATGGCCACCGAGTGAGACCGGTGCACCTCGCGCAGACCCACCCCCTCGGTGACACTTCTGTACGCCGCCAGCCGCGCGCAAAATACATGGCTACCAGCACGTTATAATGGCTGTATTTTATGAACAACGGCGAACACGATACATGAGCGGCTAGTCTGTGAAATGAAACTGCCAGTGACGAAACGCGACGCTCGGTGGCGGTGACGCGGTTTGTCCGACCGCCGCCCTGCCGTCCTCTGGGTTCCCCGGCGCCGAACACACCGCTGTCGGCTCACGGTGTGTGGCTGCGCGCTGAGCGCCCGGCGGCCGGCCGGGAGCGGATGTACCGCGGCACGGGTGGTCCGGTGGCGGGCCAGCCTCTCAGAACGCCTCGTACTTGTCGTGCTCCCACGATGTGGGCGACATCCGACCACCTGCCGACAGACTGGGCGTGAGGCTACACTCGTGGCGGACATACACTCGCTACACCCGAACGTAATTCGGAACAGAATCCGACGGGCAGTGACTAAAGCCCAATAACATTTAGGACATGTTTTCTACGTGATTGATATTTGAGCGGTCAAACGCCACTTACAGGCAATGTGCGGAGCGATGTTTCGTCCCTATAAAGATTTTCGGGTCAATGAGAGAGAAAACAAGCATTCGTATTCTCTGGTAAAAATACTGCGAATACTATGTAATACTAATACAGTACACGAATACTGCGACGTACTACACATTTTATATTTTCAAAGACATAGGTACTTGAATTTGTGAGGGCATAATTTTACTAATAATAATTAAGTAATTAACAATAAAGGAAGTGATTTATGATTTTCTCACGATTTTAGCGGCTCAGATTTCATAAGCTAAACTCACCAACCCCGAACACAGGTTGCTTGGCTCGTACCGTCGTTGGTCCGTTTAGAAGTCGTACTCACCACGCCCCCTGGCGCGGCCACGCCCCCGAACGAAGCCACGCCCCCGGCTGCGGAAGCCGTCCCGGTGCTCGTGCTGAAACACAGAGGGTCGTCACACAACTGGCTAAGTGGCTAATCAGGGTATCCGACAAAATATGACCGAATGTTTTACAGATTACGCCGGGTTACAAAGTCCTGAAGATCATTCCCCAGTCCGCGCCAGTCTGATGTTACATCCTCGCGGCTGAGAGGAGTTCTGTGGGCAGAGGCTGACCGAGTGTGAGTCTATGTCCCCTCTCCCAGATGGGCGAGTGGGCCGCTAACTGACCGAGTAGTAGTCCCTCCTCATGTTGTCCCCCTCCCAGATGGGCGGCTTGTTGGGCCGCTAACTGACCGAGTAGTAGTCCCTCCTCATGTTGTCCCTCTCCCAGATGGGCGGCTTGTTGGGCCGCTAACTGACCGAGTAGTAGTCCCTCCTCATGTTGTCCCTCTCCCAGATGGGCGGCTTGTTGGGCCGCTAACTGACCGAGTAGTAGTCCCTCCTCATGTTGTCCCTCTCCCAGATGGGCGGCTTGTTGGGCCGCTAACTGACCGAGTAGTAGTCCCTCCTCATGTTGTCCCTCTCCCAGATGGGCGGCTTGTTGGGCCGCTAACTGACCGAGTAGTAGTCCCTCCTCATGTTGTCCCTCTCCCAGATGGGCGGCTTGTTGGGCCGCTAACTGACCGAGTAGTAGTCCCTCCTCATGTTGTCCCTCTCCCAGATGGGCGGCTTGTTGGGCCGCTAACTGACCGAGTAGTAGTCCCTCCTCATGTTGTCCCTCTCCCAGATGGGCGGCTTGTTGGGCCGCTAACTGACCGAGTAGTAGTCCCTCCTCATGTTGTCCCCTTCCCAGATGGGCGGCTTGTTGGGCCGCTAACTGACCGAGTAGTAGTCCCTCCTCATGTTGTCCCTCTCCCAGATGGGCGGCTTGTTGGGCCGCTAACTGACCGAGTAGTAGTCCCTCCTCATGTTGTCCCTCTCCCAGATGGGCGGCTTGTTGGGCCGCTAACTGACCGAGTAGTAGTCCCTCCTCATGTTGTCCCCCTCCCAGATGGGCGGCTTGTTGGGCCGCTAACTGACCGAGTAGTAGTCCCTCCTCATGTTGTCCCCCTCCCAGATGGGCGGCTTGTTGGGCCGCTAACTGACCGAGTAGTAGTCCCTCCTCATGTTGTCCCCCTCCCAGATGGGCGGCTTGTTGGGCCGCTAACTGACCGAGTAGTAGTCCCTCCTCATGTTGTCCCCCTCCCAGATGGGCGGCTTGTTGGGCCGCTGGGAGAAGTCGGGCAGGCGCGGCTGGTGATCCTCCTCAGGCTCAAACTCTGCCAGGGGAGAGAGCGGGGCTTCAGACGACGCGTACGGCAGGTAGCAGGGAGCACGGGACATGTTCTAACAGCGCCGAGTTGACAATGATTTGCCGGACTTCCATCGCAGGCGCGCAGCCAAGTCATGGACCGGTTTATATTGCAATACTGGCCATGAAAAGGTTAAAAAGGTAAAATTTACGTGATGTCAAAGCTGTGGCCAAGCTAGACACATAGACAAAAGCGTTTTATTTGTCACACATAAGCATCCCTTCATTGTTGTGTCAAACGACACATAACAGGCGATTGCTAGAGCATACCAGGCCTTCACGTTAGCACGTCCGACCACCCGGTCATACTCCCCGTCTGGGCGCTCTTACCATCTCTGCTGCGTTTCGGTCCGAGCCGGTCCCTGATGTTTCGGTCGACCAGCTTGCGCTCATCCTTGATGTCCCTGAAGAGTGGCCACGTTCAGTTCAGTGGATGTTGTGCAGGGTGGGGAGTGCTCAGGACACGGCTACCCACGGAGCTCTCACCGCGGCTCAGTAACGGGCCAAAGCGGGTTCGACCGGGTTATACACAGGGGATGGTAGAAAACAAACGAAACTGGGGGAGGGGAGGTAAAGGCACGGTTTGTTTGTTTATTGGGGCTTTAGGCCGGTAAAAGCATGGTTAGCAGACGTCACAAAACACACATTAGTTAGTTACCTACAACAAAATATGGCGAAATCTGAAAGGCATACACTGTGAGACGTTTAAACGTCGCATGACTGATAGAGTAGTTTTAAAACAGATGTGTAATGAGATCGAGGTAATGCAATACGACAACATGTAGCACAAAACTAACGAATCACGCAACATTTCTCAAATCACAAATACCTGATCTACAGCCTTTTTAACGTCACGATTGCTTTTCTTTATTCAGGGTGGCGAAGGTACTCGGCATCGATTCCGAAAACTTTCGTAGACGGTAAATGCACGTACGTGTGAACCGCAAGGTAACGCGGCAGACCGCACTACGCTGCCCACTTGGCATTCGCGGACTCCGCTTGGCATGTTTTGGCGAAGTTTAGTTGAGACTTCAGATACCACGGCAGGCCCGAATAGCTGGCAGGAGAGTGGAGGCAGCTCACCTCGGAGAAGTGAGAATGTCGAGTTTAAAGAGCACAGACTGTGACCGGCTGTTACGAAACCTCGCTACTGAAGGTTGTCTGGGAAGTACGTAGAACTGAATATTTTGCGATGAAGATCAGAAGGGTTTCAAGCGACACGGATGAGTTATGAAGTGAGGGCCCAGGAGACACCAGCAACGTTGACGTACTTTCTAATTACTTTCGAAGAATTTCTTAGTCGAAGTAGGTAGTCCTAGGCTCGTTGAAGTAAGCCTGCGAAGTACTTCCGTTCATTCTTCAAAAGGCATCAAAGCACGCAGCATACATACCCAGTCACCGTGCCATCTCCACGTTCACAGTACTCTTGGCCCTATTTGTTGTGTATTAGGATGATGTCTCTTGTGACGTCATTTACTCTGCCTGGATTTAGAGAGTGTGCCTCATATGGAGAACCTTGGAAGTCGTTGTTCTTGGCCTTGTGTAGTATGGAAGAAACGTTCTGAGTAAAAAGGAGTCTTTGGAGTCAGCCAAAGGCATGAAGTACAATCGGAAGTAGCAGAATAAGGAAAGTACAGACCACTCGATACACAACAAAATGGCGACGAAGGTAAAATACGCGATTTAAAGTCACGAAGACGCATCTGTAAGGCGCAGCACGTGTCGCGCCAAAGTTTGTCGCATTTCAAGGTTAAGGGCATATCTCGAGTTGGAAGTGCGCCAGTATTTGTCGATTTGGATATTTTCTGAATTATGGCTGTTAGTCTGCCTCCCCCACCAAGTATCAAGGAAGGTGAAAACTTCATGACATGGATCAAATCAGTGGAAATTTACATGGGTGCAATTGATGTGAAAACTGCTTCTCAGAAAGTCAATATTGTTCTGCACCTTCTCGGACCTGATGTTCAAGGTATTATCGATACTTTGCCAGAGGGGGAAGGGACAAATGCATATGAAAAGTTGAAAGATCAGCTGGAGAAGCACTTCAAGCCAAAAGTAAACGCAGTAGTTGAGCGACATCACTTCAACACAATGGTGTACGAAGGCGGAAGAGTGGAAGGATACGTAGCAAAGCTGAAAACTCAAGCTCGGAAGTGTGACTTTGATGTCAATGAAGTGGATAACCTGGTGAGAGATAAGCTGGTTGCAACATGTCCCTCATCCAGAGTAAAGGAGAGCATGCTTAAGGAAGAAAAGCTGACTCTAAACAAAGCCATCTCTATATGGTCGACAGATGCCACTGTTCGAGAGCAAGCTCGGAAGATGGAAGTGTCAGAGGAAGGAGCATCAAGGAAAGATGAAAAGGTGAACAAGGTCAACTGGAAGCAGGCAGAAAGAAAGCCAAAGAAGGATGAAGCTGTGAGAGGGCAGCAAAACCAGATGAAAAATGCAAGAGGTAAGATGATGCAAAGCAGTCAAAGGGAAGATGAAAGGAAATGCTTCAGATGTGGCAAAGGTAACCATCTGATAAAAGACTGCAGAGTGCCGAAACATGTCAGATGTAACAACTGTTCAAAGCCGGGTCATCTCCAAGCTGCGTGCAGGAACCCGAGTGCTGAAGAGAGAGTGAGGGTGAACTGTAATGAAGGTGACAAAGTAGAAGATGACGAGGAAGACAACTATTGTGTGTATCAAGCAAGCAGGGAGAAGTCAAAGGCGATCAAGGTGAGCATGTCTGTAAATGGCAAGGATGTGGAATTCCTGGTTGACACAGGATGCCCAGTGACGTTGATGCCAGACAGTGTGCTTCCTGGACTGAGTCTGAGGAAAGCTGGATGTCGTCTGACCTCATATACAGGGCACAAGATCCCTGTGCTGGGTGTCACAGATGCAGAAGTAGTGTACCAAGGAAACCAGAAGGAACTGGAAGTGCATGTGGTGGAAGGAGATGGACCTCCACTACTGGGACGTAACTGGCTGAAAGAAATCAGACTGGACTGGGAACAGCTGGTGGGAAGTATGCAATCTCAGAAGACAATGCGTTGGAAGCTGGAAGATGTTTTGCAGAGGAATGAAGAGCTGTTTGATGGTACGCTGGGTCAGATGAAGAACACTGAAGCTCATCTAGAGCTGAAAGAAGATGCCAAACCAGTGTTCCAGCCACCACGACCTGTGCCATATGGTCTCGCGGACAAAGTGAAGCAAGAGTTGTCAAAATGGGTGGAACTTGGAGTGACAAAAGAACTGACGTCAGAGGATGCAACGCCGAAGTGGGCCACGCCTCTCGTAGTCGTGCCAAAGCCGGACGGATCAGTAAGACTCTGTGGAGATTTCAAGGTAACGCTGAACCCAAACCTGGAAGTGCCGAAGCACCCGCTGCCGAAGATGGAGGACATTTTTGCAACAGTAGGACAGGTTCGATACATCTCAGTGATTGACCTCTCCCAAGCGTATCTGCAGATGCCCCTCAGCACAGAAAGCCAGGAGTACTGTGTTCTCAACACACCATGGGGGATGCACCGTATGCTGCGACTACCATACGGGGTGAAGTCAAGTCCAATGCTCTTCCAGAGGGAAATGGACAGAATCCTCAAGAATGTGCCTGGAGTGAAGTGTCTGTTGGATGATATGCTCATCACAGGAAGAACTGAAGAAGAAGCACTGAAGCGACTGGACGAAGTGATGCAGATCATGAAGTCACACGGTCTGCGTCTGAAAAAGGAGAAATGTCAGTTTCTGACAAAGGAAGTCCGGTACCTAGGGCTCAGGCTAGGAGCCGAGGGCATCAGAACAGATCCAGAACGTGTGAAAGCCGTGCTGAACGCAAGAGCACCCACCAACCAGAAAGAAGTTCGTGAGTTTCTCGGTGCTGTCACGTTCTACAACCGCTTCCTGAAGAACCTCTCGAAGACAGCAAGGCCGTTGAATGAACTCCTGAAGAAAGACAGCGAATGGAAGTGGACTGCAGAGTGTGAAGCCAGCTTCAACAGCATCAAGAGACAGCTGTCATCAACGGAAGTGCTGCGTCATTTCGACGTGACGGAGCAGGTGACGGTGATCACGGACGCTAGTCCAGAAGGACTAGGCGCCGTACTCGTTCAAGGGAAGGATGAGCGGCCGATCATGTACGTGTCAAGATCGCTGAGTGAACACGAGCGGAAATACTCTCAGATAGAAAGGGAAGGACTCTGTGTAGTCTGGGCATTTCAGCGACTGAAGCAGTTCCTGTACGGGCGCCATTTCAAGCTCGTAACGGACAACAAGCCGCTAGCTCACGTCTTTGGACCTAAGGCGCCGCTGCCGACGTTGGCTGCCTCACGGATCCAGAGATGGGCGATGAAGTTGGCGGAGTACGATTTCTCTGTGGAAGTCAGGAAGTCGGAACAGATTCCAGTAGCTGATTGGCTCTCACGTCTACCGAGAGAAGGCTCAGTGCTGAAGTCAGAAGCACCAGAAGACGAGTGCACTGTCTGTCTGATCGGACAACTGGAGTCGCTAAGTCCGGTGACGGCCGCAGCGATTCAACGAGAGATTCAGCAGCGAAGGCGAACACTGAACAAGAGACTGTAGGTCCTAGGGCACGTCCAGCGGACGTCATCCGGAAGACCCCAGAACTGCGCACTCATCCCCAGCGTGAGCGTAAACCTGTAGTGCGCATGAACCTGTAAAGTGTTGTTTAGTGGGGAGGAGTGTTGTGTATTAGGATGATGTCTCTTGTGACGTCATTTACTCTGCCTGGATTTAGAGAGTGTGCCTCATATGGAGAACCTTGGAAGTCGTTGTTCTTGGCCTTGTGTAGTATGGAAGAAACGTTCTGAGTAAAAAGGAGTCTTTGGAGTCAGCCAAAGGCATGAAGTACAATCGGAAGTAGCAGAATAAGGAAAGTACAGACCACTCGATACACAACACTATTGCCATCTCGTTTGTCCCCACGGCCTCGGGTTCTGATGACCATTCACTCGGCGGTGGGTCGGTTAAATAACTTCAAGCAGTTTGACTCACACATCTACGAAACGTCATGCAATTCTTCACGGACATCGCAGGCAGACCTGTTCTTCCTCATCGGGGTTTTTGGGCGCCCGGACTAGTGGTCATCGGTGGTCATCTGTTCTTCCTCGTCAAATGGTCTAGAACCCAGCAGTTGCCATGTGGCATGTAATGAATATAAATGGAAGGTGCTCCACGTCCGTGTAGCCAAGTAGCCACGTCCGTGTACCCTTTTTCAGATGGGGTGAGTCAGCAACACAAACTGGTCACTCAGAGCCTGGGTGTGCAGATTGACTCGATCCCACAGTTTTGACGGCAGGCGTCGACTAATGTCTTCAAAACGTTCAAGGTTCTCGAGGTAATCCGCAGGTCTTGTGTAACTCTCTCGTACAGCAACGCCTGTAGTACAGCAGTCTTGTTTGGGCTCTCTACTATAGAGTACATCAGAAAACAGTTCAGAGGCCTCAAAGAAGAGCCGCCCACCTATTGTCGAGCATCCGCCACCGTCTATATCCTGAAGCGCTGAAGACTGAAACTTGGGTCGCAGCACTATCGGCGTAGACAGATGGTCTACAAGATGTTGCACGGCCATGTTGACGCCGATGCTTCAGAGACTATCGACCCCGACAGTCGCACCCAGCGTCATACATTGAAGCTTCACAAGCTGGGCATATTATCGGACAAGAAGGAATTAATGTGTGGTGTGTAGGCGATTGAAACGGGCTTCCAGCAGGTGTCGTACATTCAACATCTATTAACGTCTTTAAGAACAGTCTGTATGGTGCCATTTAGCCGGCTGAGTATAATTTCAAGCTGAATGGGTTCGGCGAGATCGGTCCTACAGGACAATACACCCCTCATCAATACAGGAATGAGATGGCGATGGCCATGACTACCATAAGTGGTAAGAAGTCAGTTTTCAGAGACGTTATTCCCAATGCGATGTTCTTCGCGTCTTGTTCCTTGACGTGGTGGGAATTTCGTACTTCGAGTGACATAAGGTGTTCTGCACTTGCATCGGCGAGTAGTTAGGGAGCCGAGGACTACGCACCATCCCGTCCTAGCAGGCAATATCCATTTCCGACTAAAAAGCATTTCGAGCAGACGCTGGAAGTGCGTAAATAATAAGCGATCAGTTCCACTAGTTTGCCTCCATGTGTCATGCTCCATTTCAAAGTTCCATACACTGTCATCATCATCAGGTTGGTATTCTTCGAAGGCAGAGTTAGGAGACATTCGTTCCTCTTGTGGATGATGGTCAGAAAGAGAGAGCATGTCCTGTCCCGTAGCTCAGTTGGTAGAGCACCGGACTCCCGATAGTGAGAGCCCGGGTTCGAGTCGCTCCGGCGCTGGATATTTGAGACTCCTGACGGGGATGGTCTGCGGTTGGTGGGAGCATCCGCAGCCAGTTGAAGTCAGTTGAGTGGGACAGGCCGTGTCCGGCTCTGAAGGGCACGTTAAACTTTGGCATCTAAATTCTCCCGCGGTAGGAGTCGAGGTCTATGCAACAAGCTCTGCTTAGCGTGGGCCTCGGCTCTGCCAATCCATCCATTCAGACATTCGAACTAAATAAAAAAAAAATGTCCTTTCTCCAGGCGTCAGTACTTGAAGAGTTGTCACCACAAATCGGTCAGTTCTTTACAAAAAGATTAAAGAACTTGCATAGGCACCTTGGTACAAATGGAACACGCTCGATCACTACTTCTTGATTCTCATTCACTGCTCGGAGTAGCATTCGTGGCACACACAGATGGAAGCAAAAAACGAGTTCGAAGTCCAGATTTGGCGTCCTCGGTGTAAAAAAGCAGGTCCCGGAGAAGCACCTGTTCACAACAATCACATATCAAGGTACACCCTTGCATAGAGAGGTTTCGCCCTGTAGACTACGCACGGCACACGAAACACATAGTTTCATGTGATTTTGATGGACGAAGAGTTACTTGCCAAGACAGAGTCCAATGTCGGCAACATCACTCGTACGGCCGTAGACTTTTGTGTGGTTTCTGCACACAAAACCCTGCCGTAGAATGCTGAGAAGGGCGAAGGCAATGTCTTAGTACGGGCTCCGACGACTGAACCAGCCCATCTTCAGTCCGAGTTTGTGACACCTGCATGTGGATAAACGACTTGGTCAATGGTCGAGGCTTGAGTAATGCTTCTGCTGCATAGCTGCTTCTTCTCCTGCTTCTTTATCTTCAAGCTGCCGTCTTTTCGTTGTCCATCTTTCGCCGAGATCCGATTATTCTGTTCGAATTCTTCTTCACTCCATTCCTTCCTTGACGAGAGTCCTGGTTACGTGCTTACAACATTAATAATAAAAAAAGACATCAAGTGCGAAGCTCGGATTCACAGTTTTCATTCGTTCAAGACGCCTGCCGAGCCTTGTCTCATCAGAAAAGAGCCGTGTTCCACAGAGGGTTTTGCGATGGTCCCTGCGGTGTTCATAATGTGCACTGCTAAGCTCATCAACGTCCTCAACTTGATTCTTAGAAGAAAGATACTTGAACATAAGTAGAAGAGGTACCTTTCTATGAATAGTTGCGGTGCATGGAAGAACCAAAATCGATAAAAGATTATGCAGCTTGCCTTCGCCATATTTATGGCGATGAGCAGTTAGGCAGATTTCTATGATTAATGAAGTCAGCGAGTCTGAACAGATTCCGTTGGTTCATGAAATCCGGAGTCACTCCACCATGATCACATTTTGTTTGAAGCACATTTGCGATGGCAATTATTTAGTGCAGTCGGTGTTGTCGTTTCCTAAAGCGTAACTTACACTAGCTGCTTAGATTTTCGACCTCGCTGTACTCCATCAATTGCGAGTGAAAAAATCTCCCGAGATTTTCATCTGATGGTGAACAGGCGTCAGCTGAGTATTTCAGAACGTTGCTCGGGACACCGGCCTCTGCATCAAATGGCGTATTTCTGACTTCTTGGCTGCTGAGTGTGTTCTCCGTTCGGTTGACGGTAACACTTCCTGCTGAGACGCCTGAGACCATTCACAGAATATTCCGTTTTGACGAATTCTGGTCGATTTTCACCGTGCTGAATAGTTGATAGGGCGTAACAGTAAGAGCTGGTTCGAAGTTTCGTTATGATAGCAAAAAGGGTCCATCGATCGATGGTGTTTTGGGCTTAAAATATGCGTAAATAAGGATGATTGCTTCCATTCGAATCCAATGTCTGAATACTGAGAAGATACGCTTCTTCAGACGCTTTGCAGATTGCAGACTTCCACTGGTGAGCTCTCAATAATCCGCCGTAAGCAAAAGCTGCTTCACGTATCTAAGCTGCACACACGCTTCTTGTAAAGTGCTGGCGTTCTGCAAGTATCGCTGAGAGCACACTCGGGTCAATTTAAGAGCTTTTCTTTTCGTTGAGTGATCTTCATGTAACAAATCCAGTAAAATTCCTTATTCATTCCTGAGTCCTGACATATTATTTGCAATACTAAGCGAGAATAATGGCCCGGCGATGCTGATGTATCAACAGTTACAACCCTGAACAACCATTACATTACCCCTTGGTTCAGGGTAACACGAATCCGGAGAGACGTCGAAGTCGTCGAAAGTCTGGAGGTCGCGCATAAACGCCAAAATAAAATATGAAGTCTCGGTTTGACATCCACCGTGCACTGGATGAAGAACGGCGGCCAATAGGAATCGTGCGCCACCGACCAGTCAGACAATGAGGAAATACATTTGTTGAAGAAACGTCTTGTCGAGCGTGACCCTGCACAAGTCAGTCGCATTGGTAGGCCTCCTGGAATGAAAACGATTACTAAGAAATAATCATAATAGGTGCTTGTGCATTCTTCGTTGGACTTCCCAGAAGTCTCGTGAGTCAGAAGACCGGTGAGCGTATCGATGTCTGGAACGTGGATGCTCGGGTCGGCGATGGCTGATGAACATTTGGACAACATTCAAGTTGGTACTTCTAATTTTTTCATTGCTAGGGCGCACATTAAATTACCCGAACGCATTATAGCTCCCTTACAGCTGCTTTATTTGATACCGCCGCGAAATGTTGGGAAGTAGAAGCGACAAGCCACTATTTCTGGCTCGTGTTCCTCCTTTTTGCTTACGACGACAACTTACGCATGGCTCCGGCTTCGTACATTCTTCTGGGACATACCTACTCGATAGACTCCACAGAGAGACGCCCGCCGGCTGCGCGGCCGCCGCCACTCACCCATACTTCTCATCGCGCATGGTCTCCTCATACTTTCTCTCGTAGCGCTGGATCTGTTCGAGTTTGCGGTCAATGGCCACCTCCATCTGTTCAAGTTTCTCTACTTGCCGCTGGGTGCGCTCGGCACGGTCCCTGTCAATGCGGTCGCCGACAGGCATCTGCCGCTCCACCGGCGGCGCGTAGTTGGGGTCGCGCGAACGGGACCGGTGGTGCTCGAACGCGCGGTCAGCGTGGCGATCAACTGCAACACAGGAAAGGACAATGGTTAGACGAAACTGTCTGGCAAGTTATCGCCAAAGCACTGAATAAACGCATTGCAACACGTCGGAGCATAGCAGTTACTATGGCCGCTTAAATCGTGAGTGTATAAATATCATCAGCTTCATTCGTCCCCCCAGTGCGCCATCTCAGCCATATGGCGGCACCCACCGGTGGGGCCGGCTTGTCCCGGCTCGCGGATGATGGCCACCACGCGCGGCTCGTTGGGAGCCGGCGCCGGCGGCGGCGGCGGCGGCGCGTCGTCGAAACGCCGGTTGACGGCCGCGCGCAGCTCGGGCCGCTCCAGAAGCGGACGGGCTCCCTCGCCTGGCGTGGGGTAGAGTAGCGTCAGCCACCAGCCGCCGAGCTTCACCGAACACATAGTTACAAAACATCGTCAAAACAGAATGTGCGAAATGCGACATAAATTCGTGTTGAGCTATGAGTATAAGCGATCCGAACCGTTTCTGCGATAAAGTGTGATATCGTCCGCGTTAATGATCCGTCTGATAATTGGAGAGGTGCTTCGTTTGCCCTTGGGCAGGTTTCTCTTGATGTCCACAGTAATTTTCTTCAGGTCGTGAATGGCGATCTTGGTTCCCCATGGGCCGTAAAAGTCACCGGGGTGCCTGAAATAGGAAATGCCACATCAATTAAATGCTGAACCAGTTGTCAGGATATAAAAGATAGAACTTATCGAAGAACCGCCTGGACTCCCATATGTCATATTACACGATAGTCAACAAAGTTCCTGCAACACAACTCATCACACAGCATTTCTTACCTTTCAACGCTCCTGCGCGAATCTCTCGAGTCACTTCCCATACGATGCGATCCGCGAGATGGAGGACTGGGCGCTCTGGAAAACACCAACAACTCATTTAGCAAAGTCGCATTTCTTCCTTCCTCAGCTAGGCATTTCATCGTGTGCCACATTAACATCACCATCCTAAGAAGCACGTATCTGAAGCGTCTCCTGATATGTTAGCACCCTATCAATATCACTATCGGATTTCCACCATTCAAGTCCCGCTCACCTCGGTTTGCGAGGCGGTGAGCGTGAGCGCGAGCGGCGCAGGGACGGTGGCGGCGGCGGGGTGAGGCTGCGCCGGCGCCGCATGCCCGGGCTGGCGGCGCGGTACCCGCCGGGCGACGGCGGATGACGCCTCTTCATCGGCGGCGTCATCGAGCGGCTGCCGGGGTGGAGGGACAGGTCACACCGCGGCGCATGCGACTTTATGATGACTGTTTTCATGATGACTTTATATTACCAAAAACAAGAAAAATCGACAGAACAGAGATGTAAAGTAATAAACCGTAAATCGCAGGTGACGCCGCTTTCCACCTACCTTCTGCGGTGCATTTCGGGCGACGGTTTGCGGTACTCTCTCTTGATCCGCTCACGGTCCGGGTACGCCGGCGGGTAGTGGTCGGCCCTCATCGGGGGCATGGGCCTCATGTCCCGGCCCGGGGGCGATAGACGACGTCCTCCGACCATACTTCTGATCCGAGTGTCGGCGGCTTAACCTGTCCCTGAACTGGAAACTACAGCGAACACGTGCATATGACAATACGGTTGTGAAGGAGCGCCACTCCGCCACGAGCACGTAATGGTGTTAACACACAGGCAGTTGCACACATATATGATTCTCACATAAACTCAGATGAGACACAATGAGAGGCATCCAGGAATCTGCAGCCTCTCACACTAGACAAACCATAAATGCAGACAACAAGGCGTCCAAATTATCACAAACACCAAGACGATGCTTCTTGCAGAGGAGATTTCAAGCTTCAGCAATAGTAAAATTTAATGTTTCGCATGGTTTGCACAAAATTCTTCTCACAACGGAACAAAAGTCAATTTCTTGCTTGATGACCAAGAGAAAAATGATAGTTGCATATCATTACAGCTGTGCAGTCAAACAGAGAGAAGTACAAGAGCTGGGATAAGCTTGCTGAATCTAAATCCATTTTCTAAGTATCTTCATGCAGCTGAGCCAAAAATAACTGCAGTCCTCAGTTCAGTGTCCATGACTAGAATCTTCTAATGGTGCAGCAATCACTTGACAAAATGAGATCCTCTAGCTGGATTGATGAGCACTTGAACATCCTGTCCCTTTCCCTTTACTTCTCCTAATTTCTTATCCTCTCCAACGTCAGTAGATAGATGGATACTGGATAGATTTGTCATATTTCTTCCTTTGATGCCTTATGATGGAGGTTGATTAAGTATGTCTTCTGGATACATGTTTGGGTATCTTGATAGAGCTTTGACCACTTTTATGACTGCTTGGAAGTTTTATCTGGGCTTTTGGTTTTCCAGGCCCGTTTTGAATGGTATTGCATCAAACTGTCCATGGTGTACGTACCTCAGTAGATATAATATCTTCAAATTTAATGCATAATGGAATGCATAATGGGGATTATCTTTCATTATATGCAGATCGATGCTAAGTCAGGAGGATCTTCACTGGCCAGGGGTTGAGCATGATTCTATAATTTGGTTATTGGAGAGTGACTGTTTTGTCCTGCTAACTTGTGTATCCCAGATTCACAATTCTTCAAATTGTGCTTTGTCCTGGGATGCCTTGCATTTTGAAGCCAAATTATTCATTGGCAATAGCCACTGCACATTTCAAGCTTCAATCTTCATCCTTATAAGTAGTGAGCATTAGTTCAGCTCCAGTGTCTGCAGGGTACATGTCACCCACAGATGTATTAGTTTTATAATGCCTGAAATATGCATTCCAAGCCAGGGCTTCTGAAAGTGCATATGATTTGCTTGTCTGCATCCATCATATAGTTTAGTTTTCCATGGTATCTTCCAGTGATAAAGGTGCTGTTTAACTTCATTTCAACAATCAACATAGTTGTTCATTGTTTGCTACAAACAGCTCAAACTTCCCAGTACTTACATAAGCCATAACAGTACACTTCTAGAGATATGTTTTGGTAAAAGATCCTTTACATAGTTCTAAGCTTCTAAAGTTAATACTTACTTATGCTTATACTTATAAAGTGAGGAATTTTTAAAGGCCACTTGGCCTCAAGGATCCGGTCCTATCGAGCTCCTTGCAGTTGCAATGCCCTGACTCAGTCGTTAAGATGGGTTGTGTATTTCGAATGTGCCCAGTGTTTGTCCAGTCTGGCTTTGAATGCGTTTAGGCTGGGAGCGTCGACGACTGATGGCGGTAGTGCATTCCAATCGTTGATGACGCGGACGGAGAAGACATTTCGACGCACTCGGGACTCGGGAGACGGCCCTCGGTTTTGACAGCTTCCATCGGTGTCCGCGGGTGTTGCCTGCCACCGCCGCCGCGAAGAACCTCTCCGCCTCGAGGTCGATCCCCTGTCTCAGCACCTGGTAGACAGTTATCATGTCACCACGGCGACGGCGGTGGTAGAGAGACGTCATGTCGAGGATCCGGAGCCTCTCCTCATACGGCTGATTTCGGATGGTGGCGACCAGCTTCGTGGCCCTCCTCTGAACCTTTTCTAAGCGCCTCTGGTCCTCCCGATTGAAGGGTCCCCAGATGGAATTGGCATATTCAAGGTGAGGCCGCACCATCGTTCGGAACAGCAGAGGCAGAGTGTTCTCATAGAAGAAGGGTAAAACTTCGGCGGATCACGAACAGGATGCGCGAAGCCTTCGAAATCGCTGCAGCTGCCTGGTCGCGGAACTTAATGTTTGATTTCTTCTCTTACCAACTATTTGATGCACTCTAACCTGATTGATTTTATAATTATATCAAATACTTGATATCTCTCATGTCATTAAGAACAATATTACTGTCTAGGCAAACATTGTTTCATTTCATGGTGAGCCCTAAAAACAAATGTTTTTCCATACACATCCAGATCCAAGATATTGAAGACCTTTCTGTAGATTGTATGCTTTATTCGTTAATGGAACATGCTTGTTATCGGCAGATCTCTTGAGCTTAGAATGTCAAGTAGGCTGCTTACAATGATTTGTGATTAATCGGTGCTACAAAATGTAGATAAGTGGAGGTCATTGAGGTGATTGATATAATTCTCAGGAGGTGTGAAACTGTATTGTTAATTGTTAATCATACATTTAGCATACACACCCAAAGTATTTTTTGTTAGGTATTTATTTTAGGCTTAAGACAAGTTTATTAAGAAGGTACATCTAAAGGTATGACTATGTACCTACCCGACCAGATACTTTTTACTCAACAGGACCTGACTCATGAAGTAGGTAGGTGGGTAGGTATGAAGTAGGTAAGCTGATTTCCATAATCAGTGACACCACACAAAGATGGCGATTATAGGTAGCCAATATTATTCATATGGTAGGTAAGCACAGATGTACATTGGTACAGCAGTCTGAGCCATTATCCCTAATAAAACATTTCTTATCCTGGCTGTTTTCATTATAATTTCATATATTGCATAAGTTGCAGCATAACTTAACTACTGACAATTGAATAACAAGGCTAAAATGATGATATTAGGTCTTCATTAGGATGTGATTCCACAGATCTCTCACACCAAGCTAATAGATCAGTTTCAGGTGGTTTCAAGTTTCATACAATGCCTCAAAACCAGAGGGCTGTTCGGCTGCGCAGCCAAAATGAAATATGCTGCAGCACGCATGTGCAATGCTCAGTGAGAGCTATGGCTCCTGTTAGTCCCACCGACACAGCTGCATCATCATCTGTGTGACGTCATCTACTGAAGCATAGGTACTTCTCTTTCCTGCAGCACGAAAACAGTAACAGCAGGAGACAAGAGTGGGGCGGATTTAAGTTTACCGTCCAGCATTTCTTATGATAAGTTATTTGTATGGTGTTTTTTTGGTATCATTATAGCTCTTTTCAGTGGCACATTGCTATTAACCACATTTGAACGCATTCTAACGGTCATTTAAATGACAATCACCAGTCTGAGTCCCCCAGCCAATGTTGGAATTGTGAATTTTGGTCCTGGTCCCGGATAATAAAATCTGTCAGGAGAACCGGACAGCTTTAGAACACTCAACAGGAAAATCATATGTTTGGCCTACTAAATATGACGATTGATAAAATGTGTTCTCCCAATGAGCTATAACTGCTTGTTTTAGGCATAATAATAGCAGTTTACTACAAACAGGCCGAAAATTTAGGAGATTTCAGGTGCGGAAGTATAAATTCGTAAAGGAGAGCAAAATTGTTTGGACCCGATTGGGACCAGTAAAGGGCTTTATTTCCGACATTGCCCCCAGCGCCATGGTTCCCCACACATGGAATAGGCTGCAGTGGCGCTAGACTCCGGCGTGCCTGCAGAAAGTGGGCGGAGCCAGGTGGCTGACGTCACTCAAGTATGACGCACACAGCACAGGTTAATGCTGCAGGGACGAAAAACTGAAACAGCCCTCGCCCCTCAGGGCTCAGAGTACCAACCAGATTCTTAGAAGTTTCTAAAACCAATAATACCAGTAGGTACCCTGCTCTATACATATGATATTGGATACATGTGATGCATCGTACAAAAATGAAAACTGAGTATAATAGAATAAATCATTGCATTTACACAAAATCATAAGGTGCTTAAGCTTCCGGTTTATGTAGACGAATGCGACGCAGCAAATAGGTCCAAATATAATGATCAAACCATGTCGAACTAGCTTTTGATCACATAAACCACATGAACTCACCAAGTTTATATTGTTAGAGTATCAAAATGAATTGTTTAGCATAATATAAGAAAATGACCGAACAATTTGCGCACTATCGACTCACCAGACGCCAATACGTGCGTCACTAATCGCCTCAATGAGAAAATATGCTAATTCTTTTATTAGGAGGAGCTGATGACGTCAACAGTTAATCTAAAATGTAATTTTTGTTTTTTTTTGTTATCAATATCAAGTTGCATTTACTTCGCCTTGCATGAAAATGATTGACAAATTGACTACATTTGTCAAAAAAGAACGAAATTAAATAGTCAAAAGGTGGAATTGAAACAGAGAACAGCATAAAGACCATAAAAGAGGCGTAAAACTTTGACGTCATAGTAAATGCAAAATTATTTTTAGATAAACGCAGTGATCTTTTATGCACCTTGTTGGTTCCTATTTCCGGTCGCGCATCATGCTTTGCTACTTGCACATGATATCCGCGCCCTAACCCAAAACAACAACTACTTGCATATCGCCTAAAGGTAAAGACCTAAGTATTTTTATTGGATACCAGAGTATTCGTACTGCGCATAGGTCAGTAGACACTGGAGGACTACCTGTACCAGTACCAGGACTCAGGAGAGCTCAAGCTGGCATTCTTTGGTAAAGTGAATTGAGGCTTGATCGTCATTGTCACCGGATTGAGCCATTTCATGCTTACCGAAGAGAGAGATGCTTACCGAAGAGATAGGATACGGGGGTAAGGGAGCAAACTAAGGATGCTCGTAGTGGCTACCCCCTCTCGTCATTTGTTCTGCGACATGTTGGTCATATCTTCTCTTGAACTGGTTGATGTTGTCGCTGGATACCACATGTTCTGGTAAACCGTTCCACATGTCGACCACTCTTGCTGAAAAGAACTTGTTGCGCTTTAGTGTTCGATGTCTTGGTCTGACGAGCTTCATCTGGTGTCCTCTAGTTCCCAGGTACCTGTCATCCAGCTTGAGGAATGTGCTGTCAACCTCAACTCTGTCCAGACCTTTCAGGATTTTGAAAGTTTGAAGCATATCTCCGCGCGTTCTTCGCTGCTCTAATGTTGTCAGCCCAAGAGCACTCAGTCGGTCTTCATATGGTAAATTTCTAAGTGAGGGAACCAGCTTTGTCGCTCTCCTCTGCACCTTTTCGAGCTTTTGAATGTCTTTTTTGAGATAGGGTGACCATGTCTGGATCGCAAACTCCATCCTGGGTCGAACCAGCGCCTTGTATAGTGGTGGAAGGATCTTGTCATTGAGGCATGTGAAAGTACTCCTTATACGGCCCAACATGGAGTTTGCTGAGGACGCAGCTTTGGCAACTTGTGCTGAGGGCTTGAGATCTGTTGAAATCAGAACTCCAAGGTCCTTTTCTTGTTCAGAGTGAGCCAGTTGAACTCCTCCCATGCTGTAGCTGCAGTTGGGATTTCTGGTACCGAAGTTCATGACCTTGCATTTATCCTGATTGAACTTGAGTAACCACCTGTTGCTCCACTCTTGTAGTTTATCCAGGTCTGCTTGGAGTTGCTGCTGATCCTCATTGCCTCTCATACTTATACTTACTTACTTACTTATACTTATAAAGTTCGGAATTTTGAAAGGCCACTTGGCCTCAAGGATCCGGTCCTATCGAGCTCCTTACTGACTCAGTGTCCTGACTCAGTCGTTAAGGTGAGTTGTGTGTTTCAAATGTGCCCAGTGTTTGTCCAGTCTGGCTTTGAAGGCGTTTAGGCTGGGGGCATCGACAACTGATGGCGGGAGTCCGTTCCAATCGTTGATGACTCGGACGGAGAAGACATTTCGACGCACTCGGGATACGGCCCTCGGTTTCGACAGCTTCCATTGGTGTCCGCGGGTGTTGCCTGTCGCTGCCGCCGCAAAGAATCTCTCTGCCTCGAGGTCAATCCCCTGTCTGAGCACCTGGTAGACAGTTATCATGTCGCCCCGGCGTCGGCGATGGTATAGAGACGGCAGGTCGAGAATCCGGAGCCTCTCCTCGTATGGCTGATTTCGGATGGCGGCCACCAGCTTCGTAGCTCTCCTCTGGACCTTTTCAACGCGCCTCTGGTCCTCCCGATTGAAAGGTCCCCAGATGGAGTTCGCGTATTCCAGGTGAGGTCGCACCATCGTTCGGAACAGCAGAGGCAGAGTGTTCTCGTCTAGAAGGTCGAAGCTTCGCCGGATCACGGACAGGATGCGCGATGCTTTCGAAATCGCCGCGGCTGCCTGCTCACGGAACTTGAGTTGGTGGTCGACGTGGATTCCGAGGTCCTTCTCCACCGAGGTCTGGTCCAGCTGCGTGTCGCCCATGTGGTAGACGTAGTTTCCATTGTGGGAGCCCAGATGCAGTGACTTGCACTTTGTTCGGTTGAAGGGCAGCTGCCAGCGTTCCGACCATTCAACGAGTGTATCTAGGTCAGCTTGGAGGGTGAGAACGTCTGATGCCCGGCTGACACTCCTGTAAATTTTCGTGTCGTCTGCGAACATCTTGATTGAGGACGCGACTTCGCCGGGCAGATCGTTGACGTACACGACAAATAGCAGCGGCCCCAAGACAGTTCCCTGTGGCACCCCGCTGGTCACAGCGGCCCATTCCGACCTTGAGTTGTTCACCCGAACCCTCTGTTGCCTCCCCGTGAGGAACGCCTGCACCCAGTTCAGGAGCTTGCCATCAACGCCGCAGGCCCGCAGCTTCAGAAGCAGGCGCTGGTGTGGAACAGAGTTAAAGGCTTTGCTGAAGTCGAGGTAGATGGCATCGATTGCCTCACCTCTTTCTAGTCCACTGGTCCACTCCTCGAGAGTCTCAAGCAGTTGGGTACAACAGGATCTCCTGGGTCTGAATCCGTGCTGCGCGCCACTCAACTGCCCCGTCCGGGTGAGATGCTCCATCAGCTGGTCGCGAATCAGTGATTCCAGCACTTTACAGGGGACTGATGTGAGGGTGACCGGTCTGTAGTTAAGGGGACACGTCCTGAGGCCCTTTTTGAAGATTGGGACGATCTCGTCCACGCGCCAGTCCCTTGGGAGGTGGCTCGAGTCCACGGAGGAACGAAACAGCCGCGTCCATGTCTCCGCCATCGCTTCAGCCGTCTCTCGGAGAACCCTGGGGTGTAGTCCGTCTGGGCCCGGAGCACTGTCCACGTTGAGTTTGAGGAGCTTCCGCTTCACCGATGCAGAGCTGATGTCCACGTCTTCCAGACGGGGGCCCCCATAGGAGGCAGTCACCGTGGGCAAGACAGTTGACTCAGTGGTGAAAACACTCTGGAAACAATGGTTGAGCAGGTTCGCTTTCTCACTGTCTTTCCGTGCCATCGTCCCATCGTCGTTTTTGAGGTCTTCAACTCTTATTTTGGTGCGCAATCGTGAGCCAGTGTAACGCCAGAATCCCTTGGGGTTTTCTCGGATATCTAGGACAAGCCTCTTCTCAAAATCTGCTCTGAGGTTTCGGGTAAGGGTGCGGAGCTTATTCCGAGCGCGGGTGAAGCGTGCATAGTCCAGTGGGTCTCTTGTGCGCACATACTGGAACCACATAGCGCGCTTGTGTTTCTTGAGCCGCAGGGCCTCCTGGTTAACATACAGGCTCTTGTTCGTTGACCTTGGTTTGGCAAGGGGTATGCAATTGGATGCCAGAGACAGAAGCGTGTCTTTGATGACATTGTACAATACTTCGGTCTCGAGTTCTGTCGTGGGTGCCCAGTTAATTGAAGACAGTCGAGCATTCATGAGACGATAGTTCCCTTTGTTCAGGTTGTAACGAGGTTCAGCTGGTTCTACTACTTCCGAGTAGCAGTTCAGCTTGAATTTGAGGACAACATGGTCGCTTGATCCTAGTCCAGGGAGGGACTGTAGGCCTTGGATCATCCCCTCCTCATTTGACAGAACCAGGTCCAATGTGTGTGGTGTTTCACCCAGTCTAAACCTCGTTGGTTGAGTGACATGTTGGTGCAGGAAGCAGTCATTCACTATGTCAACAAAGTTGTGGGAGCAATGTGCAGGTGGGGCAGTGGAAGCGCCAAGATCCCAGTCAATTTGTGGCAAGTTGAAATCACCGGTTATGACTACATGCGAGTGAGAAGACCTGCATGCTGTCTCATACGCCTGTAAATCTTGGCATCATCTGCGAAGAGCTTGCCCTCTGAGTGAACTTCATCAAGCAGGTCATTAATGTAGACAAGGAAGAGGATTGGCCCCAATACGCTGCCCTGTGGAACACCACTCCAGACTTTTCTCCAGCTTGAGAAACTTCCTCTTATGGTCACTCTCTGCTCTCGGTCTGTTAAGAATGACTTTATCCAGAGAAGTAGTGGGCCATCGATTCCTGCAGCCTTGAGTTTCGTTATCAGGTGATTATGTGGAACTGTGTCAAAAGCTTTGCAGCAGTCTAGGTAGATGGCATCTACTGCGTCACCTTCATCAAGAGCATTCTGAACCTCATACAAGTACTCCAGAAGCTGGGTTGTGCATGATTTGCCAGACCGAAATCCATGTTGCTCCTTACAGAAGAAATTGAAACTTTCCAAGTGGGAAACTAGGTGGCCTTTCACAAGTCTCTCCAAAACCTTGCAAACTACTGATGTAAGGCTGATCGGTCTGTAGTTGAGTGGATCCGAACGGCAGCCCTTCTTATATATCGGAGTTACATTTGCCTTTTTCCAGTCACTTGGGATGCTTCCTGTACTCAGTGATTCCTGGAAAATCATTGTCAGAGGCTTGCTGACATTGGTTGCACAATTCTTGAGTAAAACTGGGTGGATTCTGTCAGGGCCAGGTGCAGATGGTTTGGAATGGTATGGTTTGGAATGGTGGAATGGTAATGCCATGGATGATTATTATTTTCCATGATGCTTTGCTACCTGCTGGCTGCTGCTAAATTCGAGGTTGTCTTTTGTTGAGAGACTTAGTCCCTGGAATGGGAACCGCGCCAGTGTTGCATGCCACCCTGGGCCTGTGTTCCTGGTTGAATTGGTTTTGGTTGGTAGGTATCCATTGTGTCCTGCAGGAGTCAGCCAGGGTTGTATGTGACTCATACTGTGATAACTGACACAAATATGCTAAATGACAATGACTTACGTTACTCAGACCATCTCTCGGACTGATCTTGTCATTGTGGACCTAAGCTCAAGCTTGAAACACAGTGTGTGATATTTACACTCACTCAGTCCAATCCCAGCTTCTTCCCCTGAAAGGGGTCAGGGCCTGACCCCTTTCTTCACTGTTTGCACTGGACAAAGTATGGTGGACTGTGAAATATGTTAAGAGAGACAGTGAACCTGCATCCTAACCATGGATGGTTAGAGTTTTTAAAATCTTCCCTTAGCTACCTAAGTAGTCAAACAAACCAGGAGAGCATTTAGAACTTTGCAGCAGCCAGGCCTGAGGCCGGTCAAGTTTTCACACCGCACAATTTCTGGAAGTCTCTGAATTAAGAACACTTGCAAAAGATAAAAGATTGTGCTAGATGGGTTGGGAATGCTGAGTTGTATCATATTTTTGGACAGTACATGAACAGAAGATAAGTAAGATATATTGATGAAATTTCTGTTCAGTAATAAACCAAAACTAGGAGGGCATCTATATTGATATAAAATGAAAAGAGTGGTTTCACATATAATGGTGAGCCAAGCCTGGGATGATAGAAAAGCTCCTTGTGTTTGCATTTATCCTGGAGGAAGACTAGTAATTTTTCCTGAGCTGCCTATGTAGTTAGTCAACATCATGAGTGTCACTTAATATTGCACCACAGTGTAAGGTCTGCACTGGTTCAAGGAAGCTGTGTGCCCTGCACCACACTACATGTGTCATCCTCTCCTTACCTCTTACATTCATATTTTATTCACATGTTGATAAAATTAAGTGACAATGACATATTTTTTCATGGTTTTTCATGTATTGTCTTTTGTTTTCATATTATTTACAAAGTGTTTAGACCACACCACCACATACAAACTCCAAGTTTAGTAACAAAACATACCTTTTCAGGTCTGATAGCTCTTAGTGTGAACACTGAGAGAGCCTAAACCGCTCCTCTGAGAGGTACACTCCCGCCGGTCCTGCGCACCTCTCGGTCACGCGGCGATGGACTCCATCAGCGTGGACGGCCCGTCGGCGGGCGAGTGTCAGGTACACATCCGTCTGTGCAGCAGCCGCGAGCCGCTGGTGCTCGGCGTGGCGCGTGACGAGACCGCCGAGCAGCTGACGGTGCGCGCGGCGCGACACTGCCGCATCGGGCCCGTGGCGCGACACCTGTTCAGTCTGTGTGACGAGGAGACGCGCCTGTTCCTGGCCGGCAGTCAGCGCGTGGGGGGCGCCGTGCGCCGGTACACCTTCCTGATGCGCTTCAAGGTGGCGGACGTGGTGCGTCTGCGCGCGCTCGACCCGCACGCGTTCGACTACCTGTTCCACCAGGTGCGCGAGGCGTTCGTGATGGGCACGTTCTCCAACATACTGCGACAGAAGGAGGACGCCCTCGGCCTGGCGGTGACCGACATGTACCGGCTGATGCGCGAGATGAACGTCCGACGAGAGGACGTCGAGAAGGACTACAAGTCCTTCATCCCGCGCGACCTCGTCAAGATGCACTCGTTCTTCCTCAAATCACCGATCCGTAAGCACCTCATCAAGCTGGAGCAGGGGCCCATCAACGACGTCATGTACATCAAGGAGAAGTACGTGCAGAAGGCGCTGGAGATGTGTCCGACGTACGGAGACGAGACGTACACGGTGCAGCGCGACGAGGCGGGCGTGGTGCGCCAGTGGAAGCTGGTGGTGGACCCGTTCCACCCCACCCAGCCAGGGCTGAGGATGAAGACCGACGGCGGCGAGGTGGGTGGCAAAACCGGAGTCGGAGGGGTGTCTGGGTGCTGATGTTGGGGTAGTGGAAGGTCGGAAAGCGCAGGGAAGGGCTAGCAATGGAGTAGGAATCGATTACCGGCAACCTTTACTTTACTATCGTTATTAATTATTTTGAAGTGTCTTCCGTGACGCTTTTTACAGAAAACGTTAATTTTAAGGATATTTATTTTCCTCTCCGCCAATCAAGCCTCACGTTGAATTCATCCCATTACGCTCAAAACAGGCATCTTGTAGCGGATGCGTTAGTAGTAAACTGATGAGTCGTTGACGTCATCTCACTGACGCTGATGCGTTTTCAGAACTCCATCCACATATGCACCATCAGTGACATCTGCTACATCTCGCTGAGAAACGACAACAGGGTCGAGCTGGCGCGGAAAAACGGCGTACCGCAGTACTTCCGATTCGCATCAGAGGTAGGTCTCGCAAGTAATTTGTACTAGTGCTTGTCTAGCGACCAGCAGGCTGCGAGAATTAACTCACACCAGATAAGTGATTTGGTGAAAAAGTGAAAGAAGCGGTACTCATAATGAGAAGATAACCGGGAACCTCATCTGAATATTTAAAGAACCAACGATTAAAAAGTCTGAGCCTCGCTTCCGTCCCGTCTGCCGAGGTTCCTACCACACCGTAACACCATCTCACCCCGTTGTGGCCCATCTTCAGGCCGAGATGACGTCGTGTGTCAGCCTGCTGGACTCGTACTACCGGCTGATGGAGAAGTGGACCTTCTGCCTGAGCAAGGACCTGCAGCTGCCATCCCAGCTGCGCCTCAAACAGCGACGCTGCCACGGTCCCGTCGGGTAGGATGGCCTTTTCTGTTCAAGAGGCATGGAAAGGCTGCCGCTTTTGGAGATCGTCTCTTATTCATATCAGATGCTGCACTATGACACGTGATCTTAATGAGCATTGTCTTAGCGGCATTTGCTGCCTTGGCTGCTTAAAAACGTTCAATTTGATTCTCCTGCTGTGTGCGGGTGTTCGGTTTTCTGTCTGTCGTTAGATAGTTTTATTAGTCGATGAGGAGATGTTTAGCTCGTATACCTGAACGGTAGGGGAAGAAAGGTGTTGTCCCGACTTCTTCAGTGGTTTCCAGAAGAGTTGACAGCATCGTCTCCTTCCTCAGCCAGGAGTTTGCGCACCAAAAGCTGCGCGAGAAACGGAACAACGAGCCGGGGACGTACCTGTTGCGGCAGCACTCTGAGGAATACGACGTCATTCTGGTGGACGTGTGCCAACCCAACTGGTCAGTAGCAGGGAGCTTTACCGGCCTTGATCACACTGTGTGCGAGATGAAAGGACTGTTCTAAAACGTTAGAACTGCGATTGGTCTAATTTAGTATCATTGATATTCAACGTTCATAGTCAATGTCGGTCCATGTAGGCATGAGTCAAAAGCCCTATATGCCATTTGCATTTTATCTTGATATCAAGGGAAAAGAAGGAATACATATGTGTGAGAGCTGAGTACGACTTTATGTCTTGTTTTACCGTCGTTGAGCCAGCGCCCTAACCACGGTCTGAACCCTCCGCCATTAATCAGTGAGCAGCCGCTGACGATAGCGATCGACGAGACCGCTGGCGGCGGGTTCCGGTGTCCGGGCGAGGAGGAGGAGCACGCCTCCATCCAGGAGCTGCTGGCTCAGTTCTCCACCGACCACCTGGTCCAGTTCAAAGAGTGCCTGCCGCCATCAGAACACGGTACGGGTATAAGGCGGGCCTCTGTCGCATGGGGATAATAGAGGGGATGTATGATTGACATTATTGAAGCAACATTTCGGCAGTAAAATTAGACGAGGTAAAATTAGACTCAAGCTTTGATAGTGTGCAATTAGGTTGCCACAAACGTGTTATTTTATTTATTTATTTATTTATTTATTTATTTATTTATTATGTATTTATTTATTTATTTATTTATTTATTGTAGTTTTGCCCTTAATCATGTGTTCGTTTTTTTTCAGATGAGAGCCCCCTACGGCTATGTCGAGACCTTAGCTCAGACGAAGAGGCGGCCAGGCTAAAAAGCAAACAGAAAATGGGGAATGACCAGCCTCTGTGCATACCGGCCAACTCGCTCAAACTATACACAGGTCAGTGTCGGATCGCTGGACAACGGGGCGGCGTTTACCTTGTTCTTATGTGTGCTGTCTGACGGTCCAAAATTTTCTGCGGTGTTGACCTGAGAGCTGACCTCTCCCGCTCCCGTGGTCCTGTCCGCCCACAGGCCGGGCTGCCGAGGTGTACGGCCGCTACACTGTAGTTCAGCGCGCTCAGTGGCACACTAGTTCGGGCACTACCCGCCAGGTGGCAGTCAAACGGCTCCAGCAGCACCTCACCAAGGAGCACCTGCAGGTAGGGAGGACAGGTGGGCGGTACGTGACCATTATGGAACGCTTTCACTCAGTATATAACGTACTAATTAGGTATTGGTGAGATAAGATATCGAGATTTCGGCACGTAATTTCTGCAAATGTGGTTATTTGCCGTAAGGTCGTAGCGATTTGCGAGGTTTCTTTCAAAACGATCATGCTATTGTAAACATTTGATATCAGACTCTGTCAGGGTTGGCAGGGGGTGGCAAAAACTGGTTTTTGCCAGTGGTTTTAACCGGTTTAAACCGGCTGGCAGAAACCCTGGTGGCAAGAACTGGCAAAAACTGGCTAAAACTTAAATGGACAAACCTACAACTTTTCTAGTTAGGAATGGATTTGAAATGTACAAATGCATTTCAGGTAGTTATATAGATGCACTAAACATTCTGAAGTTGCCTCATTAGGTACTTATCCGTGCTTAAAATGTCTATGCATGTCGGTAGACATCCACGACGGCATGTATTTCCATGTAAGGGGAAAGTGGGACAAGGCGGCCACGGTAAGTAGGGTGTCATGCGGTGCCGTGCGCATATCAGTGGCAGATACCTCTTCGCACTTCTCATATTGCAGGACTCACCCAGTCACCCTTGCACTGGCTCATTTGTCACCCCCAAAAGGCATCTTACTAGCTCCTTATGTATGGATAGCCCATGAAAATGTTTCTGAGTTAGGTATGAAACATTTCAATGGTCAATGTCACTTCTGTTTGAAAGCATAAAGCTCATAAAGCTTTCACCGAATTCTCCTTTAAATGTTTCCTGTTCAAAATCATGTCTAGGCATAGTATTGTGATATTTCTGAGTTTTTGCCAGTTTTTGCCACTTTTTGCCGGCTAAAACCGGTTTAAACCGGCAAATGGCATAAACTAGTTTTTGCCGGCAAAAATGCCAACCCTGGACTCTGTGCTCAGTATGTCCGCTTCCCCTCCCCAAACCATGGGTTACTCAATCATATTGATACTCCTATCGGGATAGTTAGCAGTTAGCACCACTCTTTTCCACGACGTCCTTCTCTCGTTAGTACCGGTACTTTCTCTGTGCCCCAACCCCTGACCCGGCCTACCGCCGCCGTCGTCAGGACTTTATCGACTCGGTGAGCGCGGCGCTGCAGTGGACGTGTGACGCCGTGGTGCAGTTCCGCGGCGTGTGCCTCACGCAGGCCGTCTCACTCGTCATGGACTGGTACCCGCTCGGTCCGCTCGACTCCTACCTGGCCGAAAACAAACACACACTCATGGAGGTGAGCTGGGCGGGTGGAAATGTGCGGGGTGTAGTGTACTCTTGCAGAGACTGTAGTGTAGACTTGACAATAGACTTGTATGGGGCGATGAGTAGTGTGAGATGTAGTGTAGAGATGTAAAAGATTGTTGATGAGACACGAGAGCTGATTACGTGGCTCGTTACGTCAGTTTTGTTTTTCGATTTGAAACGAATCACAGTTTAGAACTGGGCGAGAATACGGACAAGTTAAATATCTTACTGTGGTTATTCATGATTATCGTGATGCATGTGCTCGTCATTTTATACATGAAAGGTGTCTACTTCTAGGCTACGTTCTTTGTCTAGCTCATAAAACAAATAAATCACTACATTAATCCCGTCATTCCCATTCCATCACACTCACCTCCGCACCGTCCTCTGCCGTTTCAGGTGGACCTGGTGGAGGCCGGCACCTACCTGGCCAAGGCGCTCTGGTACCTGGACGAGCAGGGCGTCACCCACGGCAAACTGCGCTGCCGAAACGTGCTGGTGTCGTCCCGGGCAGAGAACAAGTTCCACGTGCGCCTGGCCGACCCCGGCCTGCGGCTCTACACACAAAACGAGTGAGACAGCTCACGGGGGGAGGGGGCAGTGATTGGGGTTGAACTGGGAAGACATGTGTCAGTGGGGTAAAGGAATGAAAGTGCGGGATGAATTTTGACCGTTTATTTGTTAGCTCTGCTGTTTACGAGGCATTGATGAAATATATAAAAGATAGCTACGTGACATAATGCATATCAACAAGTTATGACTTGTCAGACTGTGAACCCATGTTTGTGTTCGCCATGTTTTGTCAACTCTTCCGTTGTTCGCTGTATTCCAGCCTCCACTGGGTACCTGTGGAGTATTTTAAGCAGCTGCAATCAGTAGGTAGCTAACCTGTCGCATTGTCCGCTGTGTTCCAGCCTCCACTGGGTACCTGTGGAGTATTTTGACCAGCTGCAATCGGTGGCCTACTCCTCGGCGGCGGACGTGTGGTCGTATGGCACCACCCTGTGGGAGATATTCTCCTACGGACAGACGCCGCTAGAGGGAGAGGACCTCGACATGGCCAAACAGGTGGGTCTGGACCTCAGAGGACAGCGAGAGAGGGCTGTGGAGTGGCGTGTATCGGTGGCGTTTTGATAGGACTGGTAATGCAAACATGTGACGACCATTTGAGGTTGAAGTTGAGGAAAGTTAATCACTGTTTCTTTTTTATAATTTTCAGTTTCAGATAATAGTACGCCCCACCGCTAGAGACGGCCGTCTTGTATCTCTTCGAAGGTGACCACTGACATTTAGCTTGTCTCTGTTTACTTTCGGACATGTGTGTCCGTACCTTGCCTTCACTGCTCCAGTTCCTGCATGCACTGACGCTTCCCCTCCCACGCCCAGTTATACCAGCGCGGCGGCCGGCTGCCGCCGCCCTCCGGCTGTCCCCGCGACATCTACCGACTCATGTGCGACTGCTGGCACCACATGCCGCACAACCGGAAAACGCCACAGGCCATCATGCGTGACATCAACCAGATCCTCTACAACGGTGAGTACGGCCGGCGGGTGGGTTCTAAGAGAAGGGAGCGAGTGCGGGAGACGATGTCTGCAGTGGTGTACTCACAGGTGGTCGGTGGGGCGTTCGGAGGATTTTGCGTTGATGCTACGAGATTGTTGGAGAAATCTGATTCAGCTAGATTGTAGTATATTCGGTAACGTTCTGAGAGAACGTCATTTACCGACCAGCTGTTGAACTGGCCGTTCTGACTCCACCTGGGCGTTACAAATCCGGGAGCCCGGATCTCCGATAGCGTGCCCTCGCGTCTGAGCTGTACCGCCATTCAGCGGTGACGGCGCTTCCCGTTCAGTGAATTCTGTTTGCCGGACGCTCCGTGCCCGCTGCCGCCGGCTATCGTGAAGTATTCCGTTTAATCAGGCCGGCGCAGACCGGGCGGCCTCCCCGGGGACGGCGGCGACGCTGGACGGACCAGGACCGGTGCGCGGGTCGCCTATCGGTCCCGGCAGAGGCTGGTCGCTCTCTGATCTGCTGATTGGGAGCGGGCCGTAATTAGCGGCTCTCTGGGCGGCTGTAATGACCTGCTGCTCAGAGAGGCGACTCAAACGGGGCCGGGGGACCGGCGCGGGGCTGGGTGCCGAGCCGAGAGTGGTTTATGGACTGGAGGCATTTGAGGGGCCACTGTGAACCTGGGTTTTGATCCGTGGCATTACCGTCTTTCTAGTTTAAATAAGCATCATCTATCAATAAGCGGCTCATGATTCCATCTGGAGAGCGTTTTAATGGGCTCTAGAAATTAATATCTCCCGAAGGCAATTTGGTGTGATCGGATCCTTATGACTCGATGAGGGATTGAAATAATCGAAAAAAGTGACGCCGGGTCGGATGCTATCGATGGTCGTAACGTTGGCCAGCACAAAGATCGTCTGCAACAATGCCGCTCTCCGCACAAGTTTGTCTTTCAGCTCCATCCCAACCGCAGCACTTAGCGTAACCCGAGTTTATTTCCGAATTTGAATCTCCGCCAGTCCTGAAATCCCCCGGTGCCGAGCGGTCCCAGTTGATCCGTATTGACATTGGCGCGGTGGCCGTGTGCCCAGCGGCAGAAGTTCTGGTTGGTTGGCGTGGCCGGTCCAACTTTGGCCGGTCGCTCCCACTGGTCACGCACATCGCTATACGGATGCTGGTCGCAGTGACTCGGAAAGCCGGGCGGTAGCGGTCCCCGATCTCGGTGGAACCCGAGTCCGACCGACCGGTGCACAGTGTGGCCGAAGACCAGTTTAGCGCGAATTTAATCCCAGCGCCGCTCGGATCCACTGAAAATGGTTCTCTGGTTCCAAAACTGACGTTTACCCCTCACCGGACCTATTGGTTTTCAAAATACCCCCCCTTCGCCGGCCGAAGGGGGGGGGGGGTACGACCCCCGTCGCTGTTTGGCCCTTGATGAAGCTAGAGCCTCGCGGAAAAAACGAGCGTGTGTGCCGTTACGAGACGCAGCAACTGGTATCCGATTTTAAGGTCTCAGGTTAACCTGTGACCTCTGAGTTCAGGTCAAGTGGCCCAAGGCACGGATTCGTTTTTTATTAATAACTTCGCGAAAAAATGCCGCAGAGTCCGCAATTTTGGCATCATCGTGTTCGCCTCGCTCAGGTGCGTCGAATGGTATACTTTTTGTTCGGCTGAAGTCAACTTAAGGTGTTGACCTCGGGTCAAGGTCAAGTTAGAGCCCCCCAGATCACGAAGTTGGTCGAAGGAGGTCATGTTGCATATCATTCGATTCGGCAGGTCTTCCTGAGTCCATTGGTGGCTTTCCCGACTCGCTAGCTCAATTTGATCAGGAGTTATTGACGAAAAACTCTTATTATCCTAGTGACGTCATAAATGACGTCACGTAAGGCCAATAATGCAAAAGTGAAGCATCGAACCTTGCAAGGAGTGCATGAAATCACGATTCCGTGTGCTTGAGATAGTTTATTAGGCTGGAGCCTGTTCGGCCGCGCCGCCCCCCACCTTGGTCAGGTCACGCCGGGCGGCCGACTAGACATGTTCAAAGCTGAATTGACGGCAAATAGGCAAAAAGTGGCAGCTGAAACTTGCTCGCTTATGTTCAGAAATGTGCGTAGAGTTCAGCCATGCCCTATTCGTCATATCCATTTTTATCCATTTTGACATTTTCCAACTTCTTTATGAAATACTATTGTGAGAACGATACACATGCAGGGCTCCTGTTCTAACTCATTAAACTCAGAAACCATTCATTGAAAAGCTACCATGATAGCAGAAACAGCTTCATCATGAATTGTGCTATCCGGTGATATGCTATTTTCTCATATATCTTCTCGAAGCTTCCGTAAAATTTACATTGAAAACTGGACATATTTCTCAGTACCATAGCCCGATTTCAGGAACCGGAGCGTGGGTCTACTTTCGGCAGGGATATAAGTCCTCAAATGATAAAGTGGCTTAAAAATAAGGTTCTATCCGATAACTTCGGACAATTTCCTACCCATTGATAGGTATAAATAACAGTTTATCGAAAGTCGGGTTTTTGATTAAATTCGCGCTAATCTGGTATTCGGCAAGACTGTGCGGTGGCTGGCTGGGTCGACCGGCTGTGCTTATTAAGGGTCCAATGATGGTGAGCGGCAGCAACGGGTTCTTTGAGTAACTAAATGAATAAGTTACGGAATTGACCACCCTCGAGGCTGGTGAACACCGGCCGTACTTTGGCTAACTACTGCATATTAGTACGGATTTCGTTAGGTTTTGTCATATCATTGCGGACGATTGGTCTTTTTTCGTTAGGTGTCTCCAAAGTTATGTTTAGTTTTATATTCCTTCTATGACCAATGATTTACTCACTGGTCTGACTACCTGCTGGTGTTTCCCAATGGATCAGTGCGAGCATTGATTACAACATTCACCGTTCTACCAGAGTGATATGGGAGGCTGGTATGTCGCAGTTGAGTCTTGGTTGTGATGATTTGCGCAATATGCGTTTCTTTTGCGATGAGATTCAGACGCCCTGGCAACAGGAGGGCATGCTCTTATCTTACTACACTTTATTGCTGATTGTAACAAATCAGAAGTTTCTTGCTAGCGCACTCGCCCCATCCAATAAGTTTGGAATTTCTTCGCAAATGGCTTTGTTGTTAGGCGAGGCGCAGGTTTTTACAGGACGAATGTGCTCTCTCGCACGTAATTCTGAGCTGAGAGGACATCTGTTGCCACGATAGAGCGAAATTAAATTTGTCGCTTCCTACTGAGAACTCTAGCGATCAAGGAGACTTGTACTGTCAAAGATTTAGCGGATTATTAATTTCTAAACGTGTTTTTTAATTTAAAGCGAAATCAGCTTCGTTCGGAAACCAGAAATTGATCGGGTTCGCACACCAATTGATGTGTGCAGCTTACAGATAACTTATGCATGCGGTGTACCAGACCTGTGTTAAAGCATGATTTTGTAAATGAAACCGTGCTATACATAGATGTGAATAGCCGTACCTTTTCCTTTTTTCTAAAATTAACATCAGGACAGACTTTTTGCTAGGAATAGCCAAAGCTGACCGTCATCCCACAATGAACCGGACCTAGACTAATTTCATTATTATCCCTGTCGTCCCAACCGTGTTCTTGTTCTGGTTGACCTTTGGCCAGCGGTAACTTTGACATCAAGTTGTCCAACGGCACGTGTTATTTTTGGTCCGATGATACCTCCGTGGGGAGCTAACATGGCCTGGCCGGTACCCCAGAAGGAGCGATGGGGTGAATATGCTGACGGAAAATTGGAAATTACTGAAGTATTTTGGAAAATGGATTGCGAGTTTTCTGAAAGCTATGAATTATAGTGTCTGAAAGCGTTTTTAGGGGTAAGGATTCGATAACGGATTCAAGAGTTTCAGTGGCGTGGTAGATTCATGTGGACGAAGGGAACACTAGAAGCTAAATACTATTTGTAAACATTCGCACTTTCTGCACTGCCACACATCACTCGAGACAACTATGCATTGTTATCATTGTAATGTAAAATATCAATTAGTGTGTAATTGTCAGTGCGTTGGTGCGCATTATGGACTAAGCACTGTCTGCACTGCTTTGATCTACAGTGCAAAGGTTTTGCCATTGCTAATGCCTGTTGACAATGGCTCGGAGTGGGACGGGGTGGGGCCAGGGCTATTCACTGAGTGTGTGCTTTCAGCGCAGCTTTCATTTAGTCTGTACATTTACAAACAGGGCTCTGAATGCCTTTAATATCTTCATATGTGTTGATTCAACAACTGTGCTCACTTACGACAATGCCTCTTGGTTTGTCCCAGTTCAATATTTTTTATCACCCGGATATCGCGAGGAATCAATCTCCTCTCAATTTGCTGTCCCGCTCTCGGATTTAGCCTATTTCTTTTGACATCCGCGGTATGTCATTTTTTTTCTGCGTATCTGTAAGAGCGGATGCATGCCTATATCCTGTGAAGTCATTACGTTTCGCAGGGATTCTTAGTACCACATTTTGCTTGTGTTCAGCCTTTGCTGATTGAACGCAATGTCTATTCCGAAGAAGTTTTATTCCAACTACAATACCTGGCACCTGCTCACTCTACCCAGTTTATTTTTCGTATATTGCGTCCCTCCGGACCATCTGACTCACCGCCCGCCGTCCCTGTCGCGTGCGGCGCCGCTTACGCTCAGTTTGCCCGTGACCCTGCGCGGCCGCCGGGCGGTGACTCACCTGGCCGAGTGTCGCCCCTCGGGGCGCGATTTGGGGCGGCACTTCCAGGAATCCGACCGGTATATTGACCCGCTTCCAGGAACGGCACGGGGCGGGCAGGGGCGACGCCAGGTGGTCTGTCAAGGGGGATGAACTGTTGTTATTCGAGACTGGCTCGGGGTAGAAAATGTCCACACTGGAATAACCGGTCGCTATGCTAAGATGCACATATACCTGCATTCCAGGACCCGCCCTTAGCGTGATCCCTGAGCGCGCCCCTGCCGCTGACGGCCCTCGTACTGTTTTGTTTTGCAGTGTTCAACGCGCGACAGGTGCACGCGTACGCCACCCTGTCCAACAGTGCGTCTGTGGACAGCGGCGAGGGTGCCGGTACCCCAGTGGACGGCACAGTGACTACTCTGGGCACCGATAACACCACAGTGTCGGCAATAGGTGGGTGAACCAACACCAACCAACACCACAGTCATCACAATCACCAGCCACCACCCTGGGCACCGACAACACGACAGTGTCGGCAATAGGTGGGTGGCACCAACAATATTACAGTCAACATCACTATGTAGTCAAGTTGATCTAAGATGGTCGAGAACTAACATCACACATGGATAGCGTTACTTTCATTCAGTGCATGAATGTGTCCTTGGAATGCCTCCTTTTGCTGTGTGTGCGTGTGTTTTTTGTGGAATGACGTTGATATGGTTCCATGTTTTCGCTTATGTAACGTTGTCATCGTACCACACAATATCTCATTGTTTTCCGCTCAGTGTTACCTTAGGTCACTTTTTACATTTTGGGTGCTTATCCATGACTCAGGCATACTCAGGTTTATAAAACGTGAATAGAAATTAAACTTACTTTTCTTGTTCTTTGTTCTTTTCTTTTTTGTTAAAATTGTATTGCCATTCCGTGCTGTTTTTCGTCTCCAATGACACCATACTCCCTGCTGCCTAATCTACATCAAGGTCCCAGGGCAGTGGTCATTGGCCCTTTTTGTGGTGATCAATGCGGTCAGCGACCTGGCCACTCTGCTCCACCCCCTCAGCCCCCCCCCCCCTCGTTCGCCGCCCACACTCGCCGTCCATTGCTACTCTGTGGAATGTCTCTCGGTTGCCGGGCCGTCAGCCGGTGTGTATGGGTCGTTACTGGGCAGCGGGACGGGGTCCCTGTAGGACCCGCCGCGCTGGCCGCCGGGGCCAGTCTGTCAGTGTCACTGTCCGGGATTGATGTGACTGCGGCCCGGTGTGGTTCGTGGGAGTAGGTGTAAGGCAAACAGAGGTATGCGGAGGGGTTGGGGGCTGGGGACTAGGTTGGTTGTGGCTTGAATTGGATTGGGGTATGGGGATGTAAGCCGAAATTTTATGGCATTTGATGGCGCTCTCTATGATTGACCTGTTCATGTTACGCCCGCTTTGTCCCGTAAAGTCATTAACGCCCTTTTTGATTGACCTGCGAGCTCTGACACCGTCCTCCGTCCCCCGCAGAGTCCGTGGCGCCGCCTATGATTGACCTTCTGTCGGAGCCGTTCCCGGGCGGTGCTGACCTGGCCCGGGTCATGTCACCGGAGTCGGTCGACCCCGAGGGACGCACCAGAGACCGTCTGGTCAGCATCGGCAGGCACAAGGTCAGTACCCGGCGAGAACGTCAGTGGTCAGATGGGACACTGAAGATCCTTCTCCGTGCGTCTCGAGATGTTCTGGGCGGAATCGAAGCGCGTGATCGTAGTTTCTACATTCTAGGATCGCTGAGTTTTGGAGGATATAGCGCTGTTAAATTAATCGCTTCACAAATAATTTTCTGTGAAGTAGTTTTTATGAAGTGATTTACCTTTTGAATGGCGGCGTGATCTTACTGCTTTACGTATTGCAACCATCGTATGTTCATCAATCGAAGTCAGTTCGCTTGGTATGTTGCTGGTGTAAATGTACCGTTATGGTGGGGGCGTTGTGACGGCCCGCCCCTTCGTCACCCTCCTCCTCACTGACACACTCCCTTGTTCCATCAGCTGCTGATCCCCGGCGTGCCCACGTCGCTGGGCGGCGACTCGGCCGAGCCCGTCACCCCCATCTCGCCTCTGGATATGTTCGAGGAGGCGTGCCCGAGCTTCCCGCGCGTGCTGCAGCTCAACCAGGGGCAGGTGCAGCTCGGAGACCGACTCGGAGTGGTGAGTCAAAGTAGATCGACTCTGTCAGCTCGGAGACCGACTCGGAGTGGTGAGTCAAAGTAGATCGACTCTGTCAGCTCGGAGACCGACTCGGAGTGGTGAGTCAGACTGGGGCGACTGTCAGTTCGGAGAGCGACTGGGAGTGGTGAGTCAGACTGGGGCGACTGGGAGTGGTGAGTCAGACTGGGGCGACTCTGCCCGCCGGAAATCGACTCGGAGTGGTGAGTCAGACTGGGGCGACTGGGAGTGGTGAGTCAGACTGGGGCGACTGTCAGCCGGAGATCGACTCAGAGTGGTGAGTCAAAGTAGGGCGACTGTCAACTGTCAGCTCGGAGATCGACTCGGAGTGGTGAGTCAGACTGGGGCGACTCTGCCCGCCGGAGATCGACTCGGGGTGGTGAGTCAGACTGGGGCGACTGTGCCAGCTGGAGGGGTAGGAAGACGCGCCCAGCTTGTCTTGGGGAAATTTATCTGGTAAGGGTCTGTAGCCGCCACTGGCTAGTCGTTCTTTAAGCTCCCCTGACTAGCTGACTGGGGACGCCTCTGTCACATCCGCTTGCTTCCACTATTCCTGTTCCTAACTGCGTTAGTTATCGCCGTTTCTTTATGTCGCATCCATATTATAGTCGTATTTCATCCGTTGCAGAATGCGTTTGTACTGAAAAGGTCGGGGATTTGAGCCACCTTTAGTCGTGTTCGTTTGAAGCTCGACCTGCGCTTTAGTGACAAATTGGCAGCGTCTGTACAGGACGTGCTGTCGGTCTTTTTCCCTACGTGCGCCGGGATAAGTAGGTAGCGTTCCCGAGATGTGAGCGCTGCCTCTGACTGAGCTCATTACTGCCATTGAGGTACTCAATGCCAGAGTGGCCCTCAAACCTGGAGGGGCAGTGGCGGGCCTTTGACCGTGCTTTGACCGTATGATATATGTGCAAACTGCCCATTTGTCAGGTGTGCTGAGGGAGTGTGTCAAGGTAAGGGTATTGCGGAGGGTTGGACTATTCATAAGGAAGTATGTTGAATATCCCAACAAGTCGGGAAGGCACATTTGTCTTAGTTTTGGAACGAGAATTGATCATCTGCGCATTATGTCGAGTCACCTGTTAGCGAAGTTCTCTGTGAGCTATTTGTACTCCCCGAGCAGGTAAAACTGCGCCTGAGACCGGTGTCAGAAGCCCCACTGTCGGTCGATGGCTGTCCCGCGCGGCGCCCCGCGGTCGGGTCTGTCTCACGGGCCGGGTTTCGCGCCCTTCCTTGTCACGCCACGCCCGCTGACAGCCGCCGCCGTGTCGCCGGCAGGGTTTCTACGGCGAGGTGTACAAGGCGGTGCTGACCCACCAGGACGGCACCTGGGAGACGGTGGCCGCCAAACGGCTCAAAAAGAAGGCCATCAGCACGGCCGGGCTGCAGGACCTGCAGCGCGAGATCGCCATACTCAAGGTACGCGTGCGGCTGGCGGTGGCGGGGATGGGAGCCGAGTGGCTGGGTATGTGAGATGAGTCATCTGATAATGTTGGCTTATAGTATTTATATTGATTCAGGTAATCATTATCGGGCTTTATAAGCCGCTTAATTTATGGGATAGATAGCATCATTGAGGAATGGAACACGTTCGGTGCTGTCCTTCAGGCAAGGCTACGGAATAGTAAAGAACTTTTTTGCACGCGCAATTTATGTACTACATTAACTTACCGGATTCATTCTATTCCCCGGATATACTCGTATTATCTTATTTCTACTACCAGACAATCCAATACCGTTACATCAAATAGTTTGATAGCATATACATTGACAGACATTGCTGCCACCGGCTTTATTCCCTGAAAATTAGATGGCAGCTCATCTTTGAGCAGTTCATTGAGCTTATTTTTTGGATCCGGGTCGGGAATCAGAACAGTAGATTATAGTGACGGACGGCATACAGATTCCGGATAGCTGACGTCCAGGAGACATGTGCATCATGGTGCTTAACCGGCATATAAGCTCGCCCCGAGGGGTTAAACACCGTTCCTAACCCGACCACAGTCGCGGACGGCAGCAGGAACTTAACTATTTTAGATGTGTCCGTTGAAAAGGTAGGTTCAGAATTTCATCCTACCGATTTTTTACCGTTGTTAAAAAAAAAACGTTTTACACGTCGCTTTAGCGGTATTATGCAGTCTTGTTCATACTCGGGGGATGCCCTACTACCTACTGTCAATTCAACTGACTGAGACCGGCTTGAACTTCACCCCGATCAGGTGGTGGCGGCCCAAACTTCGCTGCCGCCCGGCGGTCGGCCGCCTGTGTTAACTTGGTCCATTTGTGGCGCCGACTCGCTGACTGGTCTCCGTCGGCCGGGCTCTACCTAACCCGATCCGACCGGGGAGGTGTCATCGCGGGGTCACTGGGGTCACTCCGCCGGGCCGGGGGCGTCCGAAGTTGGTCTCAGGCCGTCACTCTCGGCGCCTGGCGGCTGATTGATCATGTAGGAGGGAAAGTTTGACGGCTAATGGGCGCCGGTACCTGTACCGAGCCGTGGACTGTGTCCGGAGACTGGCCGTCTCAGGGCGGTACCCTGTTCTCTCAGTTGACCGGGGCATTCAGTAGTCACGTCCTACCCCACGCCCCTGGATGGTGGGTGTGACGTGGGGAGTTGTGGTGCAGAACGAACGCCTTAGACAATGAGGAGACACGTGGAACGTTCTACAGACGTTCAGCGCGGTCAATAATTGTTCGGCAGCCACTGATGGTTGTTCATATTGTCCATGTTTATCGAATCTCTTTCTCCCTTCATCACTCCTCCCATTTCTTCTACAAGTTCCACCACAAGTACGACTGACCCCCGCGCCTTCCCCAGGACCTGGACCACGAGAACGTGGTCAAGATGCGCGGCATCGTGGACGAGCCGGAGCTGATGTTGGTCATGGAGTACCTGCCTCCCGGTGCGCTCAGCTCCTACCTGAAGATGTACTGGGACAAACTCACCACGCACCGGCTACTCAAGTTCGCCAAGGATGTGGCCAAGGTAGGGAGTTCCGGGACCCAAGTTCGCCAAGGATGTAACCAAGGTAGGAAGTTTCGCGACCCTGAGCAGAGAGTGGACTTAAACGGGAGTCGAAGTAGAGCTAGAGTTTGAACAAGCGTGAATTCCAGTCGTTCTGGTTGTTCCGTTTCCTTGAATCATTGATGCACTTTCTAGCATTGATTGTTTACTCCCTTATGGATCGTCAGGCTCGGCTTAATGTGTTTGGAGAGCATTGTTAAACTGAAGTGAAACTGTAACGAGTGTTACATAACCGGCCATGTCTGAATCGATATGCTAAAGTGTACGGCGCAATTGACGCCAGGTGATCAACAGCAGACCTAACGCTCCACGAACACTCCCAACAGGGTATGGAGTACCTGGGTGAAAAGAAGATCGTGCATCGAGATCTGGCGGCTCGGAACATTCTGGTGGCGTCCGACACGCACGTCAAGATCTCCGACTTTGGGTTGGCTCAGGTGACGGGCGCCAACACCTACTACTACCTGAAGACCAACCGGGAGCTACCCTTCAGATGGTGAGTCGACATACGCGGCAGGGTCGCGGCGCGGAGGTTAGAAACGCAAGAGCTCGGGGTGGGAGGCTGAGCAAAGCGCTGCCGGGGTGCGGCCGGAAAAGTTAGATGAAACCTGCAGCTGCTGGGGCTGGTCGGGAGATTTAGAAGGACTATATTCTATCCCGCCCGGGAGGGTTGGACATGCGCTGCGAGCACGCGTGCAGGGGTGACTGGTTTATGCTCCGGGGCGGCAGAAGCGGCTGTGCGACCGGAGGGCATTGCTCCCGTCACGTTTTGGGGAGTATTGTCTGCATCGGAGCGTAATGTGGGGGGCACCGCGGGCCGTCCGATGCTAGATTACAAGTCGGCTGTGAGTGAAACACGATACGGCCCGCGTCGCCAGGCCGGCGTATTGAAACAGTGAATACTTCTCGTCTGACATCCAGATTAATCCACGGGGAATTTATCTAACTTAGAGCCGGGTGAAACCCTAGTGATTGATTACCCCCAAACATAGCGCGAAATGTGCAGCTTCCGGCTACATCTTGAGTGGGAAGTTTATCCTGCTACTTCATTAATGTGAGTTACACGGGGAGGTAATTTGTGAGCCTCTCAGTCACTCTGACACACTGACACTGTAAACACCAGGCACTGCCTCTCTCTCTCTCTCTCTCTCTCTCTCTCTCTCTCTCTCTCTCTCTCTCTCTCTCTCTCTCTCTCTCTCTCTCTCTCTCTCTCTCTCTCTCTCTCTCTCTCTCTCTCTCTCTCTCTCTCTCTCTCCCCCCTCCCTCCCTCCCTCCCTCCCTCCCTCCCTCCCTCCCTCCCTCCCTCCCTCCCTCCCTCCCCCTGACCCCTCTGACCTCCCCTCCCCTCTACCAGGTACGCTCCGGAGAGTATCCGTTACGGCAAGTTCTCGTCTCTGTCGGACGTCTGGTCGTACGGTATCACGCTGTTTGAGATGTTCTCGGGCGGCGAGGACCCCCAGATTCCCAACTGTGACGACCAGAAGCTGCTGGAGACGCTGGACCGCGGCGTGCGGCTCTGCTGTCCCTCCGAGTGAGTCGCGGGGAGGGGAGAGAGGAGAGGTGGTGGGCAGTGGAGCAGCTGGGTTGGGTGGGGAGAGGGTATGGATGGTATTGAGCAGTGGGTGTGGAGGGAATGAAGGCATTCGGGGTCTGGAATGGTCATTAAATTGTTGTCCGATGCTCCGCGTATAGTTCTCACTGCAAGTCTGTTGACTTGCCTTTTGGTTATTTTGAAAATTAAATGTCATTCTGCTATCCATCAGCACCACTTTTTTACTTCATTGTTAAGATTTGTTTTCATCGTGGTCATCTTGATAAATGAAGACTAGAGCAAAGTAACCATCGCATGACGTCTGCCGTCCGGTTGTTCCAGCCCGTCATCTGTCTGCCGCCCCTCCGTCCCGGCCCATCCCCAGTCCCCGCGGTCCGCCGGTCTGACGTTCCTGTCCGTCGCCCGTTTGCCTTCCGCTGTGCTGCCGTCCCGACCCGTCCCGCGGTCCGTCTTTCTGACGTCCCGTTCCGCCTCCCCAGGTGTCCGCTGGGCATCTACACGTCGCTGATGTGGCCCTGCTGGGACGAGCAGGCGCACATGCGGCCCTGTTTCTCCGACCTCGTCCACGAGTGTGCATCCCTGATGCGCGAGTACTAGAGACGGAGACGACGACAGCTTTGGAGGAGGTGAAAGCACAGACAGTCAGATGCTTTTGAGGTGCATCTGTGCTTTTGAGTTGTCTCAAAAGCACAGCGACTAGCGGGAGCAGTCAGGTTTCTGGGGTGATGAAGGAAGGCAGCGGCGGAGAGGTAGATGCCCGCCTGGGAGAAGGTTGTCTAGTGTCTTTGGCGCTGAGAGCCCGAGCTGTCCGTACTGCCATATGCGTTTTTTTCTGTGTGCTATATTGTTCGATGCTCGAGAGCTGCTGCTTTTCGTTCCGGCGCAGTGGTGGCACTGGAACTTTGATGGAAGGAGCTGCAAACTGCTCGGGCTATAGCCCATCGTTTCCTTTGGTGTGGGGAACGAAGGGGCTCATTAAATGTGAGATCTGCGTGCCTCGCACATGCAGTGAATTTGATGCTGACGCATTTGTGCTTTACTGGGTACTGTTGAGCGTTTTTTTTTTTTTTTTTTTTTTTTTGGCATCCATTATACTATGGATAACGCACAGGGTTTTGCGAGAAATGTCACGTCCGCATTTCTGGATAGTTTATGCGGAGGATTCAGCGCATGTGATTGACTTTGTGCGTAGTTGTACGCAGCAGCTGCGTACAACTACGCTGACTGGTGATGTTTTTATTGAAGCTACCCAAGTCGGTACCCAAGTTTACCATGATGTTGCTGGCATCGTAAGACCATGGTGTTGTGAACTCGGTTTAGTTAGTTGTGCATTAGTAGTGGCTGGCGGCGCTCTTGTGAACACTAACGCGGCCAGTCTTTTGACTGACGCTGAGCCTTTTATTATGTGGATAGGGGTGTGCTGGCTGCCTTCGTGATTCGCGAAGTTACTTTGTCTACTGTGATACTACGAAGTTGCCCTTCGTGTGCGACCGGATGCTTTTTGATGTGCTTCGCTGGCCTTAGTGTCGATTTAAGGGTAGCGGTGAAAGCTATGTCCACTCGATGTTGATTTATTCGTTCAATTAGCAGGATGTTTTAGGTATATGAATCTCTATGAAATACCCAGGCTCGTTTATGTACCGTGTTGTGCCCGTGCTACTGAATCTCTTGTCCGAACCAATGCATACCCGGCGGTGTCCGAGGATACACTCCGTCTACCCCGCTCACCGCGGTCGGCCTCGTGTCCCGCTGTGCTCAAGGTCTGTCCGGGACGCCGTCATGGCTCCACCTTCTCTGGTCTGAGGTCTGCGCGCCCGTGGCGGGCCGGCCGCCTCGTTTGTGCGCTATTTCCGTCTTACTGCCGGGACGGTAGCCGTTCGGCGGTGGACGGGAAATGGTCCACGGTGACGGGACCGGGCGGTGTGGGTCCCGCTTTAGGGTCCGGTGTGACGCATCACTGGGAGACAGTGTGCGCCGAGCTACTCAACGTTATTTGGAGGGGGCACTGGTGGCTAAATCTTCGATCAAATGTCAGGTATTCGTATATTTGCATTTGATATGATTTAATTTGCGATAGATATGCATGATAGGTAGATGCAGTGTTACGCTATCTGCGTCGCCGCTTTGCAAGTATAGATACACGAGATAGGCGCGGGATGCTCCAATATTTCCGATATAGCTCTTGTGAAGCGAACGTTGAGATTATGCTGTTTGTGGTGACTGTAACCCATTTGATCACAGCTCTGTCGCATTGCAGAGGTGTTCCTAGTGATTGACTTTTCCTGCACGCCATTATCAATTTTGTTTACCTTTGGCTGTGTTTATATAATATTTTAGCCATCGTGTATGTATTCACACATTCTCGTTTTTATGTCGCTCAAGTCGTTTTAGTCTGATGATTTATCTTTTTCTATTTTTGGCATACATAGATGTACGTTATGTAGCGTTTCTGGAAACAAAGCTAAAGACATAATTGCGCGCACATGGCGTCGGTCTGCGATGCGAATTGTGTTGTTTTGCTGTGATTGGCTGTTTGCCATGCCAGGTTTGCTGTAGTCTGTCATAGTTAAGTATTTTGAGTGATTCGAGTGTGCAGGTCTCCGGAGAATCAGTGATTACTTGACTTAATTTGGCACCTGATTTGCGCCGACACGAGATATTTTCGCATTGCAGAAATGCCGAGAATATGACTGTGAACTAGCCGGTGGTGGGTATTGACCGGGCATCGAGAAGATTACAAATAGCTACCAGTAACACGCCTTTTGGGCGACCAACGGAGCGAGCGAGAGGATGGGCCTTGCACGTGCGACATTGCGAGGGGGTACCTCCAACTAACTTGTGCACTGCACCCTACTAATCGGTCTTTAGCGATGTGCCAAATTTCAGCGCAATCGGCCTAGCCGTTCTCGAGATCTGGAAGCGGCACACTGCACGTGCGCACGTGCAAGCGGGGTCCAAACTGACTTTTGCACGGCACCCTACTAACTGGTCCCCAACCGTGTACCAAATTTGAGCGCAATCGGCCAGGCCGTTCTCGAGATCTGGGAGCGCCCCCTGCACGTGCGCACGTGCTGTAGCACCCCAACCTTAACACATGCAGATGAATTATCTGATGGAGACCTAACTGTGTACCGAGTTTCAATTCAATCGGCCCAACCGTTGTGCCGTTATTGAGGTTGCAATTTTGGGGGTTCTTAAAAAATGTCCAACTTTACCACGCGCCACGTGCGGTAGTTGGCAAGAACGCATGGTGGCCATCACACCACATAACTTTTACGTCCAAGTGACATTCAGTAAAGAAGACCGCTTGTCAATCGGATGTCCCGTTCCTAAGATATTAGCTTTTGAAGAGCGTCCCCACGGCCGGCCGGCCGGCCGGCCGGCCGCTCATACTCAGGATTTTCCCTTAATTCAGTATGAGACTCCGCTCGCTTCGCTCGCTCCGTAATAAATTGATGCCTAAATTAATCATTTTGTCTGGAGACCGGACGCGTCTCGTCTCGGCCTGCCGTGGCGAGTTTTGTACAGTGTCCGCGGATTGCGCTGTCCCTATGTTTAGTCTCCAGCGTTCGGCTTGCACCGCGTAGACCGTGACGTGCCGACCATTTGCGATAGCCGAGAAACTTTTCTGATTTTCCGGCAGTTGTGTATTGTCTGCAGAGCCGTCTGCTCATGTCTGGAGAGTTGTCTACTGTCTGACGGTCGCAGACAGAGTGATCACAGCGGGTCTACTGAGATCTTCCGTCGGTGCGGCGCGCTGAGGCCCTGTGAGGCCGCCGCCGGACCGTCCCGCTAGCCGAGGGGTTAGATAGAGCTGACGGGCCGGGGAGCCGTCCGACTGGGCAGCCCCGTGTGTTGAGTACTGACCTCCGTGACAGACTGGTCTGCCGTGCCCGGGCACCGTCGGACTTTGAGGTGATAACGTGCGGTTCGCTGATGGTGCCCCCAGAGTTGTGTCGAGTGCTGCTCTCGTCTCTATTTACGATAAAGATTAAAGACCTTTGTGGAATACATCGCAATGCAATGATTGTGTGTTTCCTGTTAAGGCGACATATTCAGCAGTTCAGGGACGGGCTCTGTCAGTGTTCCATGGCTCTCCGTGGCGTCCTTAGCTCAGTTGGTAGAACGTTGGACTGGACTGGTAGTGCCCGGGTTCGGGGGGGGGGGGCATTTGGGTTCGTATGACTCCGGCGTTCGATATACGAGACTCCTGACGGGGATGGTCTGTGGTTGGATGGAGCAGCCGCAGCCAGTGGAGTGGGACGGCCCGTGTACGGTTTTGATGGGTAGGGGAGAGTGGGGCAAAGCGGCCACCCGGGGCAAAGCGGCCATCCATCGTTTAAGCCCTCCACAGCTGGCGTCAGTTCCAATTTATGATTTCCAATTATACTTCTCTTTGCGGTCGTTCGAATGAGCCAGACCGGGGTTTCAGGCCCATCGCCATTGTTCTGTGAAACACGGAAAAGCATTTCTTGCCAGGTTACCAATTATGTTTACAATTTTTAAATGTTATTTTATTCCATAACCGTTTGGAATTTTTATAAGCGTTTTTGTCCATGCATTGCGTGGTTATCGTACATGCCTTCTACCAATTTTAATGCTTTTTACCCCACTAATAGCTGAGCTGGAATATTTTTGTCTCGGACGGTAGCGCGGGGCAAAGCGGCCGGGGCAAAGTGGCCAGCCCCCAATTGGCCATAAGTTGTTTCCATCTGGATAAAAACATTATTTATATTCAAATGTGTCGTCATGCATTCATCTTGGCCACTTTTCGGTTACATGAGTTACCAAATTATGCAATTAAATGTTTTTCCAAGAAAATTCTTTCTTTGTTTAGCAATAGGTGGGAAGATAACAAAGTAAACATCCATCTTCCCTTAAACCTTGTCACCATCAAATACCCTAGTCGTGCATGAGGCAACTATTCTGTTTCTCATATCGGGACTTGAGAAGTCGCCAGTGGCCGCTTTGCCTCAGGGATGGGGCAAAGTGGCCAATATGCTATAGGTTTAAAGTTTTGTCAATATCTCCCATATGTGAACGCCTTTGGACATAGGCGGCGGAACGATTTGAGACAAGGGGGGGCACCATGGCTCAAGGAGCCAAACCTAGGGTACCCCCAAATCCTGTTTTCTCATCGGATTTAGGCCACTTATTTTTCGTCACAGCCCTGACACGATGATTTTATCTATTTTTTTTTTTTTTTTACTAAACGAAAATGGCAGTTCACCCCCGTATGCAGGGGTGTAATTTTATGTCTCTTTGTGTGGGGGCATATGCACCCAAAATCCTGAATTATGCCCCCACAATGATGAAAATGCACCCACAAGTCTCTTACAAGGCTGCAAGCGTCCTTTCGAGAGCACGGTGCCCTTCGCATGCTCTAACGGCGTCCTTCTCGCGTTCCTTCTAACGGCGACCGTCTCGCGTTCATGGATAATATAGCGTTTTTAATCACTCGGCGCCATTCTGGGAGAATGGCGCACTTTTGACAGCACCGCGCCATTCTCATGGTCTAACGGCGCCCTCCTGACCGTCTCGCGTCCTTAGGTCTCTGTTCACGGTGCATCCCTCGACTGTTCGGCGCCCTTCTGGCCTCTCAGCGCCCCTGAACCACATAGCGTTTTCAATCACTCGGCGCCCTTTTACGAGAATGGCGCCCTTTTCACGATCTCAAGGCGCCCTCGTAACCATCTGGCGCGGCGCCCCCACGTCCCCACCAACTTAGCACTACTGACTGTGCGGCGCCCTTCTGGCCTCTTAGCGCCCCTGGACCTCATAGCGTTTTCAATCCCTCGGCGCCCTCCTAAGAGAATGGCGCCCTTTTCATCGTCTCACGGCGCCCTCGTAACCGTCTGGCGCCTCCACATTTGGTGCCCCTCCTACTGGATGGCGCCTCTCTACATCTTTTTTACGTCCTTCCGGTCAGTTTCCACTTTTAAGCGTGTATTTGCTTAGTCAGACACGTCACTTGAAGCGCCCTTCGGCTAGCAATGTTATCAAATTCAGTGTTAATTTAGGCTCCCACATAAAGAATATCCATCGCGCCCCAAAACGGCCTGGCGCCGGGCGCCCCTACAGCTGGGCACCCACAATCATTTTAGGAAAATTACACCCCTGCCCGTACGTGTGGTTAACTTTAAGCTGATCCTCAAGTACCTATGTGTTTGTCTCTTCCTTATTGTCGTTTGATAAATTCCATTTATCCTACATGTATCAAATTCCCAAGAAGCCATCGCAGTACTAATCAGTGGCGAATCCCAGGGGGGAGGTCACATGGGTCATGACTTAGGGCCTGGGGTCACCATATGCCTGCCGGGAGCACCACAGGCCTGACAGCCGACAGGGGGACCACAGGCCCGCCAGGGGTACCACAGGCCTAGCAGGGGCACCACGGGCCTGTCAGTGGCACCACAGGCCTGTCAGGAGCACCATCGGCCTAGCAAAAGCACTACAGGTCTTCCAGGGGCACCACAGACCTGCCAGGGGCACCAGAGGCCTGCCAGGGGCACTATCGGCTTCGCAGGGGAACCACCGGCCTCGCAAGGGCACCATAGGCCTGTTAAGGGCACCACAAGCCTTTCGCTGGCACTTGAAGATTGTCAGGGGCACCACAAACCTGTCAAGGGCACCTGCGTTCTAACAGGGGCACCACGGGCTCGCCAGGGGCAACACAGACCTGCCAAGGCCCAGGGACACGACAGGCCTAGCAAGGACACCACAGGCCTGTCAGGGGCACCACGGGCCTGTCAGGGCCCATGGGCACCTAAGTCATGTCAGGGCCCACCGTAGGCTTGTCAGGGGGCAGGGTAGGTAGGTACCACAGTCTATCCAGGGGCACCAGCGGCCTAGCAGGGGCACCAGTCATCACATGTACTAACCAAAAATAAAGAAAATAAAAAACTGAAAATAGGGCACCACCAAAATTAAGTGGCCGAAATCCGTTGAGGTTTTAATTTTGGGTATAGGTAGGGGCACCACTTCGATTCATGACCCTCCCCTTGGAGTTTTCCCGAATCCGCCCCCTGGTACTAATACATCAAATTTAAGGGGGGGCACTTTGCTATTGGTGCCCCCCTTGCAGAATTCAAGGGGGGGCACGGTGCCCCGGTGCCCCCCCCCCCCGTTCCGCCGCCTATGCCTTTGGAAATGAAACGCAGTTGGAATAAAAGACAATTTAATAGGGATCACATTGGTATAGAAAGAATCTTTCCAAGTTTAAAAATCAAGCGTCGGCATCGTTAGAAACGTTAGGGTGGCCGCTTTGCCCCACTCTCCCCTACACCAAACTTTGGCATCTAAATTCTCCCGTAGGTACTCCGTTGTCCGATGGAATGCATGGGGACGGGTCTGCGCATATCTGATTATTGTGGGCCCCGACTCTGTCAACCTGTCCAGTCGAACATTCGAGCTTAAATCGAAAAGTCAAACAAACTGTTGAAAAACGAAAATTTTGCGTGTGCGACTAGGAATGCTGGAGGGCGAGTTACCCGCGAACCGTACAGTCGTGTACAGGTTGATGGTCCTGTTATAACGTGAGCTCTTTATTCACAACCCAAGCCGCATTGCGTTAGACTCCCTAGAGCGCCAAACACCGATCGCTACTACCACAACCGCGCTCCGCGCGGGCCGGCGGCCGACTCCTCTCGAACCCCGCGTCTGCGCGCCGGCGCCGCCAATGGCGTCGCCAGGCCCCCGGGCAGGGGGGAGCAACTGGCGTCGCCAGGCCCCGGGGGCAGGGGGGGAGCAGCTCGCGACACCACACCCTGCCGCCCTTAAAACGGAACACATTCACTTTGACCTGCCGCCCTTAAAACGGAACACATTTTAAACCGGAACGTGGAAACAAACACATTACGCGTCGGAACGTGGAAACAAACACATTACGCGTCGGAACGTGGAAACAAACACATTACGCGTCGGAACGTGGAAACAAACACATTTTAAACCTCGGCGATCAGTCGCCTCGGGCACCTCCGGCGCCGAGCGGAACGGCGTTGCGAGGGGCCCTCAGTGTCCCCGCCGCCCCTGCCGCCGCCGTCACCGCCACCGCCGGTGTGACTGTAGCCGCTGAGGTCACCGGTATCACCGCCGCCGCCGAGGTCACCGGCACTACCGCCGCTGCTGACGGCATCACCGCCGCCGCTGAGGTCACCGGCACTACCGCCGCCGCCGGGGTCACCAGCACGGCCGTAGCCACCGGGGTCACCGGCATCCCCGCCGCCGCCGAGATCACCGGCACGGCCGAGGCCGACTGCTCCCCGGTCACAGGCCTGACCGGCGACGCCGGCGCGGCTGCCGTCACCGAGGCCATTGGCGCGATCGTCTCCGACAGGGCGCCCGGCGCTGCCGCCGGCGCCACCAGCCCGGTCACCGCCGGTCGTCGCTCTGACGTCACCGCCGGTCGTCGCTCTGACGTCACCGCCGGTCGTCGCTCTGACGTCACCGCCGGTCGTCGCTCTGACGTCACCGCCGGTCGTCGCTCTGACGTCACCGCCGGTCGTCGCTCTGACGTCACCGCCGGTCGTCGCTCTGACGTCACCACTGGTCGCCGCTCGGACACTACCGCCGGTGGCCGCTCTGACGTCACCGCCGGCGCTGTTCCCTGGGTCCGCCGCCGCCGCCAACAGCTGGTCAACGTGGCGCGACCAGATCACGTGTCCCACGTCCACTTCATACGACACGGGACCGGGGCGGGCGACCACCGTGCCGCGGACCCACTTCTGACGACCGTCATACGAGCGGGCCCACACTGTAGCTCCCACGGCGAATTCCCTGCTCCGTCCGCCGGCCGTCTCACGCTGCCGGTCCCGAGCCGCCTGCAGAGCTGTCTCGGCGCTCGGGACCATGAGGTTCATACGAGTGCGGAGGTTCCGCCCGAACAGCATCTCAGCGGGAGTCCGTGCGGTCGCGGCGTGGGGCGTCACTCTGTACGCCATCAGAACTCGGGCGAGCGCCAGTTCCATGCCTCCGCTGTCGTCTGCTGCCAGAGTCGCCTTCAGTGAGTTTTTTAGCGAGCCGACCGCT